GAGAATATATTTTTTAATTTCAAGTTTTTTTTATGTAATTCAATTTATTTTATTATTAATTCTATCAAATTACTCTCAAAATATAAATTAGTTAAAAATAACTAATTACCTATCAGTAAAATCATGTCAGACATTTTTTACTTTAGCAATTAGTAAAAAATGACTATTTATTTAGTTGTTGATAAATAAATCAATAATTACAAAAATAGTCAAATTTTAGTATTTTACTAATTGCATAGTTACCAAAAATTTCAGTTATTTTTACATTAAAAGTAAATTTAACTAATAATTAGTTATAATTGACTAATTCAAAATTTAGAGTATATTATATAATTACAAATATATTATATAATATTATTATTAAAATAATATTAATAATAGTAATATCAGTATAGTAATTGTTACCATTATTATTGGTATTTTTATTATTTATAATAATAAGAAAGATTATAAATTTGTATTATTATATACTTCACACATATATATTTGTATTTTATTTGTTAATTTTTACCTCAATTAATTATTGTTGAGTTATAAAAGAACGAATTACTAATTTCTTAATCTAACTAATCAACTTTGTAAAAGTTTCTTTCGTTATAATTACAAATTGCAAAGTTTTAATGCATTTTACAAACAACGCTTTCATTCATTAAGCAAATGCATCTTGACTGCACTTTCATATACTTGCTGTACATAAATTATTATTATTCTGGTCTTTACTGAAAAATGTATTGTCAACAATTTCTATTAAACAAATTGCATTTACGAAACAGATTAGTTATATTGTAAATAATTTTTTAAAATATATAATCATAGAAAAATTAATTAATTTTAAACAATTTTAAAATTAAAGATAATTCTTCTATTAAATATTTCAGTACATGATTAAATGCGTATACTTTAAAATTAAAAAGCAAATTAATTAAATTATGAAATTTTTTTATTACCTACAGTTAATATATTATGATGTAATTAAATTATAAAATAAAAAATAAAGTTAAAAATACCGAAACAAATGAATAAAATAATAATAATAATAATAATAATAATAATAAAAGTGCTTTACGAATATAAAATTCAAAATACGCAGAAATAGAAGTTGGCTTACTTAGTTCATACTTTACCTACTTTAGAGAATGCTACACCATCTTTGCAGTAGATAGAGTATTATAAAGTCAGACAACACATTTTAGTCATTTTTAATTCTTCTGTCGCGAAGTTTTAATTATTATTAATTCTCTAAAATATAAAAAATAAAATATAAATCTAAAATATAAATATAAATTCTTTTTCAGTAGATAAAGTATCATAAAGTCAGACAACGTTTTTTCTTAATTTTTTATTTCTCTGTGAGGAAGTTTTAATTATTATTAATTCTCTAAAATAAAATGAAATAAAATATAAATTATTTGCAGTAGGTAAAGTATTATAAAGTCAGACAACGCATTTTAGTAATTTTTAATTCTTCTGCTGGGAAGTTTTAATTATTTTTAATTTTCTAAAATATAAAAAATATAAATTCTTTGCAGTAGATAAAGTATTATAAAGTCAGGCAACGTTTTTTCTTAATTTTTTATTTCTCTGTGAGGAAGTTTTAATTATTATTAATTCTCTAAAATAAAATAAAATAAAAATATAAATTGTTTGCAGTAGATAAAGTATTATAAAGTCAGACAACGCATTTTATTAATTTTTAATTCTTCTGTAAGGAAGTTTTAATTATTTTTAATTTTCTGAAATATAAATCTAAAATATAAATATAAATTCTTTTTCAGTAGATAAAGTATCATAAAGTCAGACAACTTTTTTTCTTAATTTTTTATTTCTCTGTGAGGAAGTTTTAATTATTATTAATTCTCTAAAATAAAAAGAAATAAAATATAAATTCTTTTTTAGTAGATAAAGTATTATAAAGTCAGACAACGCTTTTTCTTAATTTTTTATTCCTCTGTGAGGAAGTTTTAATTATTATTAATTCTCTAAAATAAAATGAAATAAAATATAAATTCTTTTTCAGTAGATAAAGTATTATAAAGTCAGACAACGCATTTTAGTAATTTTTAATTCTTCTGCTGGGAAGTTTTAATTATTTTTAATTTTCGAAAATATAAAAAATATAAATATAAATTTTTTGCAGTAGATAAAGTATTATAAAGTCAGACAACGCTTTTTCTTAATTTTTTATTTCTCTGTGAGGAAGTTTTAATTATTATTAATTCTCTAAAATAAAATGAAATAAAATATAAATTCTTTTTTAGTAGATAAAGTATTATCAGGTCAGACAACGCATTTTATTAATTTTTAATTCTTCTGCTGGAAAGTTTTAATTATTTTTTATTTTCTAAAATATAAAAAATATAAATATAAATTCTTTGCAGTAGATAAAGTATTATAAAGTCAGACAACGTTTTTTCTTAATTTTTTATTTCTCTGTGAGGAAGTTTTAATTATTATTAATTCTCTAAAATAAAATGAAATAAAATATAAATTATTTGCAGTAGGTAAAGTATTATAAAGTCAGACAACGCATTTTAGTAATTTTTAATTCTTCTGCTGGGAAGTTTTAATTATTTTTAATTTTCTAAAATATAAAAAATATAAATTCTTTGCAGTAGATAAAGTATTATAAAGTCAGGCAACGCTTTTTCTTAATTTTTTATTCCTCTGTGAGGAAGTTTTAATTATTATTAATTCTCTAAAATAAAATGAAATAAAATATAAATTCTTTTTCAGTAGATAAAGTATTATAAAGACAGACAACGAATTTTATAAATTTTTAATTCTTTTGCATGGAAGTTTTTGTTATTTTTAATTTTCTAAAATATAAAAAATAAAATATAAATCCAAATTATTTGTAGTAGATAAAGTATTATAAAGTCAGACAGCGCTTTTACTTAAATTTTTACTCTTCTGTAGGAAAGTTTTAATTACTATTAAATCTCTAAAACATAAATGAAAGTAAATAATTAATATAACGGATTCAAAAATAACTAGTAATAATTGTAAAAATAAGTTTTGTTTAAAAGAACAATAATTCAAATTTCAGTTTCATTAGGAAAAGAAAAAATTGAAAATAAATTTTATTAAACAAATAATAATTAGGGGAACATAGTCTAGGTCGGCCACCTTTTTGACTTTTGTTTATAACTTTTTTTTAAAAATGAATTTGGACAATTGAAGTATATGGTTGGAAAGTCCTGTTTAATAGGAACATTTTTTCTGTACAAAGTAAATTGACAGGTTTAAAAATGAAAAAGTTATAAAGATTTAAAAAAAAAAAAATTTGTAGTCCAGGTTGGCCATTACAGTCAAGGTCGGCCATGTTTAAAATTCAAAGGGCATTAATCGTTAAAAAATAAAATGACATGTTTAGAGTTACGGAAAATTGATTCTTTATTGTTTACAGTTTGTAACTTAATGAAATAACAAAATAATAACAATAAACAATATAAAAAAATAAATATAAATAAAAAAAATTTTTGCACTAAAATATTAATAAAATTAAATAAAAATATTAATAAGATGATCAATTATATTATGAGTTATACAGAATTGCAGTTTTTGCAAATGAAGTAGCTCGTCCTCAACTTTGCGCATTTTAAACACATAGTGGCCGACCTTGACAGTAAGTAACATTACCGAATTGTTGTAACCATAAAGAAATACGTTTCGGGATTCGATTTTTTACTTTGTTTTCCTTTCAACCATGAGTCCCACAAATTTTCTGCATACTTGCCTTGACGATTCAATTTGTTTTTTATCTTTTATTAATGGTTTTTCACATTATGCACAAAACTTTTTTTGAGCTTTTTTTGTACCGACGTCACAGAAAACACAATTTTCGATTTTCCGAAAATGTAATTGAACAAAAAGTTAGGTTTCACTAAGACAAGCTTCGACAAAAATGCGCGTAGGTGGCGCTAGTGAACTTGACAAAAAAACGCGAGTGGCCTACCTAGACAGTAGGCCAACCTTGACTACATTCCCCTATAAATTGAATTTTATTAGAAAATAGTAATTAGAAATTAATTTTTATTAACGCTGAATAAAAATTTATTTGATTCAAATAATCGATTACTTGTCTATTGTTAAACAAATAATTACTTGTGTAAAATAATTTTTATTTGAATAAATTAAATTGTATTTGCTTCAAATACTGAAACTATTGGTTCAAAGATGATTTACTTGAATTAAATAAAAATTATTTGAATCAAGTAAATATTTATTTGCGGTAATAGACAAGAAATTCGGTTATTTGAATCAAACAATTTTTTTTCAGTGTAGAGAGATAATAATTAGAAATTGAATTTTATTAGAGAAATAATAATTAGTGGTTGAATTTTGTCAGTGAAATAATAATTAGAAATTGAATTTTATTAGAGAAATAATAATTAGAAATTGAATTTTATTGGAAAAATAATTAGAAATTGAATTTTATTCGAGAAATAATAATTAGAAATTGAATTCTATTGGAGAAATAATTAGAAATTGAATTTTATTGCAGAAATAATAAGAAATTGAATTTTATTAGTGAAATGATAATTAGAAGTTGAATGTCTTTAAAAACAAAAAACTGAACTTCATTCGAAAGAAAAAAAGTGAAAAATGAATTTTTTTTTAGAGAAATAGTAGTTAAAAGAAATTAAATTGAACTTCATTCGAAAGTCAAAAATAAGAAAATATTTTTTTCAGGAAAACTGTAAATCGTTACATGAATGATTTCGTAACTTAAAAATTTTTTCAAATTAACAATTAGATTTTGGATTTTTTTTATCACAATTTTCTTTTGATTTTGAGCGCAATTTTAGTTTCAGTTTTCAAATTAAGTGTCTGTACCAAAAAAGAAAAGAGTATCAAATGCTCATTTTTATCTTGTAATTTTCGACAATAAATGACATTTATTCACCGTCTTTGTAATACAAAAAATATATTTTGAATTTTCGGATTAATTTTTGTTTTATTTAAATTTTTGTTTTTTTTAATGATAAATAATTACGGACCAGATATTTGGTTTCCTGTTGAGCGTCAATGTCATCGTCTCGTGCGCCCAAAGATGTTGCGACGTCGGGTCGTTCCGCCCTACGCTACTAACGACTACGGGGCAGAAATAGTAAACACACTTGGCCTCACAGACACAGTGCCATAAAATGACACATGAAAATAAAGTGTAAAAAAAAGAGAACAACACCTTCTTTACAACACAAACTCGTCAATTTTAGAGGGAAAGTAAAATTAAATTTAGAATTTTTTTTTTATAATAAGATATATTTCACGTGTATTTATTATATAAGAGGAAAGTTAAAATTTCTTTAACCGGGTTTTTATTTTATTTACCGCGAATTTAAAATAAGGCATGTTAAATTTTGCCGGCGCGGCGTGTTTTGAATTTTGTTTTTTATTTTATTTTTTTTTTTTTGAAATGTGATTGAAATGTAATAAAAAAAATAATCGTGGATCGTAACAACCGGGTTAAACTTGTTGAATGAGTTCGTCGGCTCTCAAAGCGCAAGGTTTGCGATCAATCGTACGACGAGACAGAATTTTTGCACCCCCGAAGGGCGCTCCAGCATCGACATGCTGAAGGCAAGAAATGGCCCGGGCGTCGCGACGTCAGCGCTCACCCCATTCACGCGGTGATTGCAATCCCAGGGACGGGTTCGTTTAGGGCGTCTTTCCGATTTCCTGAAAACCCTATTCTGATTACTATCAATCGATAAGGTGTTTACACCTTGATAAACCTAATTCCTCATCATTTTAATTACCTCAATTTAATTCATGGGGAAATTTTCGAAATTCAATCATTTGTTTGTGAATTTTTTCATTTTTATTGCGTGATGCTGTATTTGTAAATGAATAGATAAATAATTGACTTTAGAACTAATTTTCTAAATAGATTAATGAATAATTGACTTTAGAATTAATTCGCAAATAAATAACTATGACTTTAGAATCAATTCGTAAATGATTAAAAAAAATAATTAACTTTGGAATTAATTCGTAAATAAATGAAAAATTAGAGAATTGAAGTAAAACATTTTTTAATTTAAGGTACGATTATAGAAAAAGAAATATTTGTTGCAAGAAAAATAATTTTTGTTACAAATATTTCAGGGAAATATTTTTGTTGCGAATAATGCAAGTAAAAATTATAATTATTGCAAGAAAAATAATATTTTGTGAATATTAGAAGAAAAAGTTAAATTTGAAGAAAAGTAATTTTTGTAGCGATTATTGCAGGGAAAATAATTTTTGTTGTAAATACTTCAAGAAATATAATTTTTGTTGTGAATATTGAGAGAAAAAATAATTGTTGCAAGAAAAATAATTGTTTATAAATTTTACAAGAAAAAATATTTTTTGTTCTGAATATTACAAGAAAAAATACAATTTTCTTTTACAGTTTCCAAGAAAAATAATTTTCGTTGCAATTATTACAAGAAGAAATCATCTTTGTTGTAAGAAAAATAAATTTTTGTGCGAATATTACCAGAAAATAATTATTTTTTTTTAATGTTTATAAGAAAAATAATTTTTCTGGCGATTATTGCAGGAAAAAAATAATCTTTGTTACTAGAAAACTAATTTTTTTTGCGAATGTTGCAAGAAAAAATTATAAATCTTGTAAGAAAAATAAATTTTTTTAAATATTACAAGAAAAAATACAATTTTATTTTAAAGTTTACAAGAAAAATAATTTTTGTAACTATTACAAGAGAAAATATTTGATACCAAAAATACAAAATAAGAATACAAATACAAAAAGTACAAAATCTATTTGATACAAATAAGAATTACTGGATATAAATAAGAATTATTTGTTGCAAATTAAAATTTTTTGATAAAAAACAAATAATATTTGATACAAATTTCAACTATTTAATACAATAATAAAAATTACTCAATAAAAATAAAAATTATATGATTTCAATGAAAATTATTCGATTCAAATAATAATTATTTCATGCAAATTAGAATTAAATCATTAATTTCGAAAAGAACTAAACTTGAAAAAGCGTAAAACTCATTTTCACGTAACAATTGATAATGAAAGTGACTCTTACTGTTTTCACAGTTAAGACCTTTTCGCAATTCACGATTCAATCATCTAATTAAAAAAAAAATTATTCATTGAAAAAAAAAATTAGTTGATACAAAAAAATTACTAATTGAAAAAAAATTATACAATACAAATAAAAATTATTTAATGGAAAAAAATTATACGATACAAAAAGAAAGTTATTTACTGCAAATGAAAATTATTGGATGCAAAAAAATTTATTACGTGAAAATGAAAATCATTTTATACTAAAAAAATGATTAATTGCAAAAAAAATTCTTTGATACAAAAAATAATTAAGTGTACCTAAATATAAATATTATTTGATATGAAAAAAAATTATCAGGTGCAAATAGAAATTATTTGATACAAATTAAACTTACAGAATACAAATAAAAATTATTAAGTGCAAATAAAAATGAAAATTATTGTAATTCAGATAAAAATTATAATTTACTTGATTTAAACCAGAACTAATTGATACAAATAAAAATTCTTTGAGACAAGAAAAAATTATTTGTTGCAAATGAAAATTAAAAATCTTTGATACAAAATAAAAATCATTGTAAAAACTACTGAATACTGAAAATAACAATTTATTTGATTTAATTTTAAATAAAAAAACATTGATTTCAAATATAAATATTATTTAATAGTTGTTTGATATTTTCAAAATTATTTGACACAAATTTAAATTATTTGATAATAAATAATTTGAAACAAATTCAATTTATTTGATATTAATAAAAATTATTGGAATTAAAATTAAAATTATTGGATAAAAATAAGAATTATTATTATTATTATTATTATTATTATTATTATTATTATTATTATTATTATTATTATTATTATTAGCATAATTACGTTGACAATTATAATGAATAGATTGTTATCATTTTGTAAATTCATTATCTTTTGCTCCAAGTAAAAATTGATTTGTAATATCAAATTTCCTTTCATTAATTCTCCGCTCTATAATACGCTTTCAATCAAAATACTTGAAATGCTTTACAAAAGATAAATAATAATTTGAATATTTTGCTTTTTCATGTACCTCTTTTACTTTTGTTTGTGTAAAAAATATCAATTACAAATTTTTTTTTCTTTTTATTATTATTTTTATTATTCATTATTATTATATTTATAATTAATTACAAATCTATAGTTTCGGGAGAAAAAAATCCATTGATTTCTACGTCCCGGAAATATCTCATTAATTTAGAAAAAAAGAATCCGAATCAAATATCGCGAAAATATCTTATATCAAAATTGATACAAGATATCAGCTCTAGAGTTATAATTAGAATTATTTTTATTATTTGTGAGAAAAACTTGATACCAGGTGTATAACAATAAATCAATTGCAGTAAATTATCTAATGTGTCATGCATTTTTTTTTCAATGATAAATTCACAATAAAATGTGACTTTTGCTTGTAATCCGTTTTTTTCTTCGTTAAACTAAAATAGCGAAAATGGAAAAAAAGATAAAAATGTAATAATAATAATAATAATTAATAATAATAATAATAATAATAATAATAATAATAATAATTAATAATAATAATAAATTATTATTATTATTATTATTATTATTATTATTATTATTATTATTATTATTATTATTACTATTATAAAAATAAAAATATTAATACGATAATTTTTTCATACCCAGTATTTTCGGTTTAGAAATTAATTTTTTTCTTTTTAACGGAAGTAAAATGATAAATTTTATTTGACCCAAAAATTTAAAAAATTTAAAAACAAAAAAAGCACCCGGGAGATTTTGAAAGCGTGACGTTACTGATAATGGCGGGGGTGCATCGAGGCATGCGCCTAAATCTAAAATTCCGAAATACAAAGACCAGTGCATTTCTGTGTGTAAAGAAATTCACTTTCCCTTTCTTTTTTCTTTCCTCTGAATTCTTTTAAGAGACAATTACTCAAGACAATAAATTTCAACCACTCATTCAGAAGGAAGGCTAGAAAATGAATTAAATGTTCTTTTCTTTCTTCTCTCTTCTTCATCCTGTTAATTAAATTACAAAAATAAAAAAGGGACAATAAAATTTCTCTTCAAGAATGTTGATTTTATTTTCATTTATCTAAAAGAATTTGTCTTAAAAATTATAATACAATTGTTTTTTTTATTTCCGAGTAAATATACATTGTAATATACTATTTTTTTATAATAAAGTACCCTATATATGTTAATAATAAAAATTAATTTCTATACTTCGCTTGGTCATCACAATCGCACGTTTCATTTATATATTAAGATAATAAAATAGAATATAAGAAATAAAAATCTGTCATTTGATAACGTGCACCTTTCAGACTTATCACTTTTTTTCTAAAAATTAATTTAACTTCTTTTTTTCATCATCATCATCATATTCTTTTATTCTTGTATAAAAAATTATTTAGCGAATGATTTAATTTATGTACAGATTTAATTTTAACCCACGAAACATTATTCATACTAAAAATTATATCTAGATTTCATAATAGGTTGCACCTGATAGTCAATTTTTTTTTACACTGGTGTTTTTTTTTTATAAATAAATATCAGTGTCTGTTTGTAGCAGTGAAAGTCGTTCAATGCTGATGAAAATTGATACTTTTGATTCAATTTTTGGTATTGTTGCCATGACTGACACAATCTGACCACAATAGACCTCCGCAAGCTATCGATGTTATGATATAAATAATTCCCTGTAATTAATAATTTATTGTTAATAATTAAGAATTTCTAATTAATAAATAATAATTAATAATTATTTTGATATAATTTAATATTAATATAATTAAAACTGTTTTCTATAAAACTCTAATACTGAGTTAGGAGGAATTTTTAGTTTTTTTACTCACGATGATAACGGCAGCAATAATGACGTAAACTTTAACGTTTTTCCAAAATAGAGAGCGTGCTAGATTTCTGCTTGTCTTTCTGAATGTCACGGACTGGAAATTTTTTTTTATTTTATTAAAAATTATTATGTGAAAAAGAATTTAATTAGATGAATTCAGTCTATTTTTTGTACATTACAGAATAGTAATTAATTATAGAATTTAATTAATTACAGAATTATAATTAATTACAGAATTGTAATTAATTTCATAATTATAATTAATTACAAAATCATAATTCTCCCTAGGGAATTAAAATGAAAACTTACATTTGCGGACAAATTTTCTGTTTTGTTTACAAGTAACTCCAATCTTTCTCCTCGCATTGCTAAATTATCAATGTTCTTAACCATAATGTCTTTGAGTTCATCTAATTCTCCGTGAACCCTCGATAGTGTGTCAATATCCTTAGATTCGCTGTAATGCTTCTGAAATGTTGATAATACAAATTTATGTTCAATTTTTGATTGATTATTTGCTAATTGTTTCCTACAAAAGAAAAAATTTTTTGAAAATATTTACAGAGCATTTCTAAATTGGGAAAAATTGATTTTTTCTCTAATTATAACAAGAAAATTCAATTTTCATTTGAATTTTAAGAGAAAAATAATTTTTGGTGCAAATATTGCAAGGAAGATCATTTTTGCTATAAATATTAAAAGAAACATTATTTTTGTTGTAAAAATTGCAGAGAAAAAATAATTTTTGGTATAAATTCAAGAAAAATATAATTTTTATTGGAAAAATTGCAAGAAACATAATTATGTGGTACGATTTGTATAGAAAAAGTAAACTTTGTTGCAAGAAAAATAATTTTTGTTCCAAACATTGCAAGCAAAAATAATTTTTGTTTTGTAAATATTTCAGGAAAAAATTATTGTTGCGAATATTGCAACCAAAAATAATTATTGCAAGAAAAATAATTTTTGTTGCAAATATTTGAGGAACAAATCTTTGTTGCGAATATTGCAAGTAAAAATAATTTGTGTTGCAAGAAAAATAATTTTTGTTATAAATATTTCAGGAAAAAATTTTTTTTGCAAATATTGCAAGCAAAAATAATAATTATTGCCAGAAAAACAATTTTTTTGTGAATATTAGAAAAAAATAAAATTTAAAGAAAAGTAATTTTTGTAGCGATTATTGCAAGAAAAATAATTTTTGTTGTAAAATACTTCAAGAAATATAATTTTTGTTGTGAATATTGAGAGAAAAAAATAATTGTTGCAAGGGAAATAATTATTTGTAAATTTTACAAGAAAAAATATTTTTTGTTGTGAATATTACAAGAAATGAGAATGTAAAAATACAATGTTCTTTTAGAGTTTCTAAGAAAAATAATTTTTGTTGCAATTATTACAAGAGACAATAATTTTTTTGTAAAGAAAAATAAATTTTGTTGTGAATATTGCAACAAAAAATAATAAATGTTGTAAGAAGAATAATTTTTTGTGAATATTTTAAGAAAAAATACTATTTTCTTTTAAAGTTTACAATAAAAATAATTGTTGTTGTGATTATTGCAAAAAAATAACCTTTGCTGCGATTATTACAAGAGAAAATAATCTTTGTTACAAGAAAAAAAATGTTTATTACGAATATTGCAGGAAGAAAAAAACAATTTTCTTGTAATGTTTCTAAGAAAAATAATTTTTCTTACGATTATTGCAGGAAAAAATAATCTTTGTTACAAGAAAACTAATTTTTGTTGCGAATATTGTAACCAAAAATAATAATTATTACAAGAAAAATAATTTTTGTTGCAAATATTTGAGGAATAAATCTTTGTTGCGAATATTGCAAGTAAAAATAATTTGTGTTGCAAGAAAAATAATTTTAAACAAATATTTTTTAAGTGAAAATATTACTAGAAAAAATCATTTTTGTTGTGAATACAGCAAGAAGAAAATACAATTTTCTTTTAAAGTTTACAAGAAAAATAATTTTTGTTGCAATTATTACAAGAGACAATAATTTTTTTGTAAGGAAAAATAAATTTTGTTGTGAATATTACTAGAAAAAATCATTTTTGTTGTGAATATAGCAAGAAGAAATATTTTTTGTCGTAAATATTAAAAGAAAAAATTAATATCCTTTTAAATACTAAAAATACTTTTAAGTTTTAAGAGCTAAAATTAATAACAATTTTTTTAAATATCGTATACTGTAGAGTTGAAAAATTTACCATTTCGTTAGCCAAAACACGTCCATATTCAGTGTTCATTGCATATGCTAATGCAGTTAGGGCACCTTCTCCATAAACAGCCTGAAACCTTCTCTTAATTTCGTTGAGAAAAAGAAATGCCCTAGATCTTTGAAAATCCTAAAAAAAAGTGGACAGAAATTTTTAATTTTTTCTTTTTTCAAAATACCAGCGACATATTTTGCTAGAAATACTTGCATAAAAAATAAAATACTTTGTTCAGTATAGTGATTAAAATTTAGCTTTCTCTTTCCGCTGTGTTTCTCAACTTACATCGTCAGTGATGCACATGTAAATAATTCTATTTTCACAAATATAGTGAAATAAATATGGTCCTTGAGAGTAAGTTAATTTGTCATCGGTTGGTGGAATTTTCGCCAAAATTTGTTCAGTGACCTCTTCAAAATTCCCTGCACAGGAAGCATATTTTGCCAAAACTGTCGGTCCACGAGCGACAACACTGTATAAAATCGGCATTTTGTCTGCTGAAAGTTAAGAAAAAGAATTGTGAATTATTTGTAAAGAATAAATTATTTTACTTTAAACGAAGAACGAACTTGGAGAATTTTGAAGAACTTTGGAGAACTTTGCAGAATTTGATACAAAATTGTTTCAATGATTTAAATCCCAAAGAATTATTCCTAATAACTGAGACAGATCCGTATTTGAAAATTAATGAAAGGAGAATTATTAAACAAAATAATTGTAAAATTGAAAAATAATTTCTATTTCTATTTCTTATCGATGCTAATTTGAACTATGTTTATTTCTTTTCAGATATTAAATGTCAAGTGTCAATCATCAGACTCCAAAAACGTCATAAATGCATAACGCAAAAATGATTCATCGACTAAGAAATTGTTGAGAGGATAAACAAAAGGTAAGAAAAGAGATTATTATATGAAAAAGATATTTATAAAAAGATGAAATAAGAGCGAGGGATTTTTATTATTGAATAAACAAGTTGATAAGAATTCTAACCTCATTTGATAGCTTGATGGTAATATGGTAGAGGATTTGTATTCGAAAAATAAAAGCAGAATCAAGATTTTACTCATTAGAGTAATTGTTAGTGATAAATTGCGCCATAATATTGTTGTCATTGTTAGAAATAATTATTGTAATGATTGAGAGAGAGACTAACCTTGTATTTAATGAGAAATTAAACAAATAACGCACTTGTTGTTTTACTTCAGTATTGGACAAATTTTGTCCTTTTGTCACATGTACTCGATTCACATTAGATTAGAGATTCCTTAGTTTTTTGTTTTAATAATTAATTTGTTATATTTCCAGTTCTAATTGCTAGAAATTTTTCGTAACACCCACTTTTTTTTACTCCAAAACAAAGAACTGTACAAGTGTCATCGGTTAGTTGGGATAAATTCTGTTAGAGGCGCGCGAGTCGAGGTGAAAATTACGCGGAAGAATTTCAAATTCTGATATTTGTTGTTTTTTGTTGCATGAGGGGAATTAATACTTTTGGGAACTTTAATTTTTGTTTATAAATGAGTTTGTTTAATATCTGCTGGAGAAATGGTTCTTTTTTTCAAAATAGGGTGATTTTTACTATACAGCAGCGAAACTTGTAGGAATTTTGACAACATTTCTTTCTCGATATTAGAAACTTTGTAGAAATTTTTATTTTATTTATTTAATATTACAAAGCTCAGTAATAATGTCGTCAATATTTATGAAAGTTTCCATGAATTAACTGCATTAATTTTTCATTTAATGCATTTGTTTTGGTCCCTGAAGTTAGCGTCGATTCTTAGCGTTGAAAACTATAATTATTTAGGGGTTTTAGAGTGCCCAGAAATAATATTTTATTTTTGATTTCAGGCAGATAAATTGTACCAGGAAAGGAAAAATTCTTCTTGAAGAGAAAATTTGACAAAGGATTTATTTCAAACGAACAAGGATCTTCAGAAGTGGTTCAATACAGAAGAGGAGGACCAGGATCTTTGGACAATTCTTCTAGAGGAAGTGCGATGGCATGGCATCCATCGACCAACGAGGGAATCACCGTTCGGTGAGTCGGTTGAAAGCCGTTTTTTTTAAAAAAAGAAAACTCCTTCCCTGTTTGCAACGGTATAACTGAATCAATTTTTTTTTTATTTGAAGTCAGTTACAATAAATTAGATTTCTAAATAAAAAAATAATCATTAACTATAATTTCTTTTGTTTATTTTTATATCAAAATTGTCTTGAATTATTCTTATAAAATTAGGTTTATTTTGGTAAAATAAAATTTAGGGTAGAGTGGGGTAAAAAAGCCATGGTGTAAAAAAGCCATTTGAGTTTTATTTAAAAACTATTAAGCCGATTTATCAGCTGTTTAGAATATAAATACTATTAGGTAATACGCAACTTTTGAATCTAATTTGAATGTTGTACCTAGATTAATATTGTTTTTATTGTAATTTTAAATTTTTGTTGCTTTTTTGAAAACATTTTGGTGAACTTTTCAAACATATTACAATCTGATTAAGTGAACGAATAGTAAAAGTAAATGTTTGTACATAAGGAGAAAAGTATACCGAAAACGTATACAATGTTAATTTTTAGAAATTGAACTGAATTAACAATTTATTTTTGCTTTTTTTAATAACTGGTCTTGGGTGTAAAAAAGCCAGGGCAAAAAATCCATTGAATATTTTGTGAAATTCACTTGTTTTCTATTTAAACTAACCTTCTTATTTTACAAAATTTCTCGTGTTTATTTAATAAAATAAATTAAACACGACGAAAAAGTAGTTCAAAGTGCATTTAAAAAATAAACAATGAATAAACGGTTGCAACGAAATATGTTATCTGTGGTAAAACTTAAAGAGAACTTCTAAAAAAGGTACGAAAAATTGGCAGTGCAAATGGAAAACAGGTAAACTTAATATAATTTTCAATTTTGCTTGCTAAAAACTCTTTCATAATTATTAAAATATTTTTCAAATAAGACTATTTGTCATATAAATAAAGGAAAAATATAAAAATACCTAAATTGATAACGTGTTTTGCTAAAATCGTAGGGTGGCTTTTTCACCCCACCAGGTGGTGCAAAAAAGCCACTTGCAGTGCTTTCGTAAAACTCTTATAACTTAGTCCTTTCATGAGATAAAAAATATTTCCGTCAAGAATTTTCAAGCTTAATAACTAAACTTTCAATAACAATTGGAAATTTGAGAAAAAAATTTTAAATACAGATTTTACAGCATCAAAAGTAAAAATGTGGCTTTTTTACCCCACTCTACCCTACTTTTATAGAATAAAATTTTCTTTCAGAGAATAAAATTTACTTTTATAGAATAAAATTTTCTTTCATAGAATAAAATTTTCTTTCATAGAATAAAATTTGCTATTATAGAATACAATTTGCTTTTCTGAAATAAAATTTACTTTTGTAGAATACAATTCACTTATGTAAAATAAATTTTACTTTCATAAAATTAAATTAAATTTCATGGAATACATTTTGCCTTATGAAATAAAATTTACTTTCTTAGAATACAATTTGCTTTAGTAAAATAAAATTTACTTTTATAGAATACAATTTACTTTTTTAAAATAAAATTTACTTTCATAAAATTAAATTAAATTTCACAGAATACAATTAACGTTTTCTAAAATAAAATTTTATTTTGCAGAAGACAATTTGCTTTTATAAAAAAAATTTACTTTTTTAAAATAAAAATTACTTTTATAAAATAAAAATTATTCTTATAAAATAAATTTCATATAATTTATAAAATAAAAAGAAAATATAGTCTATTTATTTAGTACGGAAATTTTAAAAACAGGGAAGGAACTCAAACAACATAGTGACGCCACTGATAAAATTTATTATTTTACAGTATTTTTCATTAATACGTAAATTAATAATTTTTTGTTAATGGTTTTCCATTGTCTATACCTATTATGTGTTTGTCATTTTTTCAGCACAATGTTTTTCAAATTTTTTGCTGTCTTGTAATTTTTCTTGTAGTTTTCTTTATTTTTTTTTTACAAAAACGCAATTAAAATTTAATTTTTAACAATTAATGACAATATAAATTCTTATTGTTCCATATTAGATTTTTTATTTGGTTGACAAAGTTAAATGTAAAATTTTCTTTCATTCAGATTTTTTATATTTGGTTCACAAAACTGAAAAGTAAAATTTTCTTTTGATGACATTTTTTGTATTTAATTCATAGAGTTAAAAGTAAACATTTAGATTTTGTATATTTAATATTTAATTATTTTAATTCACAATATTGAAAGTAAATTTTTAGATTTTTTATTTAATTCAAAATTTTTTAAAAATTAATTTTGTTAATTCAAGTGAAAATAATTTTTTTGGATATAAATTCATTAATGTGCAATTTGTTCTTTTTACAGCTTTTATTATTTTGAGTTCAGATGACGGATGCGTCCCGGGACGTATGGGAGCCTAACGTGCCCCTTTATCCCTAGTGTAGGTCAATTTGCATCTGGGCGGAATGTGAGAGAACCGTGGAGTGTTTGAGTTGGTAAAAAATAGGTTTCAAGTAAATAGTTAACAAAGTTAGGTAGGGCTAGATTTTTTTCGAATGAATTAATTAAAAAATTTTCGTTTCCAAAAATCGTAGGTAGGGAAATCGGGATTTTTTTTGGCATTTTTGGTATGTTTATATTATGTATCACATTAAACTGGATTTCCAGTTTAAAAATATATTGCATGATATTTTCTTTCTCATTTTTTGTCACTATGTTGTTTTGCATTTTAACTTCTGATTTATAATTTTTTTTGTCAATTTTGGCAAATATTTTGTATTTGTTTGCTTTGGCATTTTATTTCCAAATGTCGTGAGCAATATTATGTTTTTTTTGAAATTTTGTTCTTTTTTTCCAAATTTTGCTTATTTGAAAATTAAAAAAAGCAACAATAAATTATGAAAATAAATTATGAATATCTTATTTTTATGAATATATAAATAGTTGTATTTTTAATTTAATAATAGAATAATTTTCCAATTAATGCAAATAGAGATCATAAATTATTTTTACAGTAGCGAAATAAAAGTGTTATAAATAATTTTTCTATTTACGTATAAACGCACAATTTATCTGTTTGTAAATTCATAAAAAAGGTCTAACAAGATTTTTCTTTTAATTTCTCTGCATAACTGTACGTAAGGATTGTGATAATTATTTTTTTTTATCTTTCCGCTGTTTAAAGAAAATTTATGCTCTTTATTTACCTGAGTTTTATATCCCAATGCTAATATTATTGTTTATTTTTTGAGATACATATTTTTATGAATGTAAAATTTATCTTTTAGTGTATATATATATTTTGAATTAATTTTTGAATTATATCAGGCGATCATAACCATTTGAATGGTATTGTTGTTCCCTTATTTCCCGTTACTCATTTTATTAGGAGAACAATATTCTATTTGTTACCTAATTCCTCCAAATTTTATCCGGCGAACATAATATTAATGCACTGGAAGGAGTGCTTTTATAGGCGAGGTTTATTAACTTTCTCTTGTTTATTTATAAGTAATTTCAATTGTTTTCATTGTTAATATTTTAAATAGTATTTAATAAATAAAAATATATTTAATATATTTCGAATAAAAATATTTTTCAATGTATTTTTTAAATAAAAATATATTCAATATATTTTAAATAACAATAAATTTAATTTATTTTCAATATAATGGAGATATATTTTGAATACAAGTAATTTTAAAATATTTCATTTTAACAACATTTGTTTATAATTCATTTGAAAATAATGATTAAAATTTGGAAAATATCTACTTTCTTTCTAAACAAATACAAACAAATTTTTCTATGTATAAAAAATGTTTTATATTATTATAAATAATATTAATTTCGTAGGTATATAATATTATATTATAATATTGTAAAAATAAAAAAATAATACCTAATAAAAATAAACAATAATAATAAAGTTAATAATAATTATAATAATAATATTATAAATTATTATTATTATTATTATTATTAGGTTTATATAATGAAAATATTTCATTGCAATTTGAAAATTTTCATAAATTACAAAAATGTAATTATTATTAATGGAATATTTTCTAGTTGTAATTATAATTTATTTATAGGGATCACAGTTGGTCCCCTTTTTTCCCCTCACTTATTCCCTTAAATTAATAAAATCCCCTAAAACACCTAAAATCAAAAAATTTCACCCCTTTTCCTTTTATTTAAAAAAAAACTTTTAAAAATTGTAATTTTTGAGTTAGAAAATTTTTAGTCAGACTTGAAGATCAGAATTTTTATTTTTTGCTAACTTTGGAAAAATTTTTGTTTTTTGAAACTGAAAAATGTTTTTTTTTATATTATTTCTCAGAGTTTTTAAACTTGTAAATTTTGTCATACATGCTGACAAATATATAGTAACTTTTATTATTTGAGAACTAAAAACCAAACTGTATGGAATTTCTATCAAATTCTACTATTTTCAGAATAAATTTTACTAAATTCAAAGTACAAATAACGATTTTTAAAACCAAAATTTACTATTTTCAATCTTAATTTTTGTATAAAAATTATTTAAATTTCTCTCCAACATAGTACAATTAGGTATTACTTAAAAATTCTTATTTTGGGAGTTAATTTTACTATTTCTGAAGTAAATTTTTCTAATATTTATAAAAAACTGTCTTTAAAAATGGTAAAAGTTATTCTGGAAATGACAATTTTTAATAATAAATCTTATTATTTTTTAAAGAAATTTTACGAATTCCGAAGTAAATTTTACTAATTTTTTTCTACTGCAATTTACTTCAGTTGTAGTAAAATTTATGGAATTTTAGAAATTTAGATTTTTAAATAGTTGTAGTAAAAAATTTGTATAAAAATTATTAAATTTTCCCTTCAACATAGTATAATTAGGTATTAACTAAAAATTTATATATTTTGAGTAAATTTTACTATCTCTGAAGTAAATTTTCCTAATAATTTTTCTAAAAAATTGTCTTTAAAAATAGTAAAAGTTATTCTGGAAATAACAATTTTTAATATTTCATTTTTTTTTAGTTTTATAGGAAATTTTACCCATTCCAAAGTAAATTTAACTAACTTTTTACTGCAATTTATTCCATGTATAGTAAAATTTATGGAATTTTAGAATTTTAGAATTTTAGAATTTTAGAAATTTAGATTTTTAGATTTTTTAAATAGAGTTGTAGTAAAAAATTTAATTAATCCCTGTTATTGTTTTCTTATTAATAATAATGTAAATGTAAATAGTATTTGTGTAAAAGTATATTGACAATTAAAAACTGTTCCATTGTATATAGAATTTCTTCAATTTAAAGAACGTCTATCAAAAATAGTCAATTAAATGAAGTCATCAATTGAATTCTTCAATTGATGAAAAAAACTCGTTCAGCCTATAGTATAAAACTCTGATGAAATATTTTCAATCCATAAAAACTTATAAAGTTATAATATATCATTTTTGATCGCCGATTGTGAAATTTATGATTGAAAGAATTTATTTTTTCGAATTACAATCTTCACCTAATTTAATATATTTCGGGAACAAGAGAAAGTAAAAATTTCACGTCTTTCTTTTAATATATTTAAATGTTTGTTGATTCCAAACATATAAATGAGAATCATTGTTAAACTAATGAAATGAGAATAAATTCTCGTTCCCTTTATACTCTCCCATGAAAGAAAAAAAATTTTCAAACCAACTTTACACATATATATATATATATATATATATGTTTTATTTGACGATGATGCCTATACGGTTTTGGTATATACGGTCGATTATTTAAGACTGTATGTATATATGTATATTGAAGAGAGAACCATTCGCGTTTTGCGCATGTGTTCGCATTTTATTCTTTCCCCAAAGGAAAGTTGCCAGTCAGTTCCTCTTTGCGTGTATATAGTGAAGTTGATATGTGAATATTTTTAACATATATACACGTGTCGGTTGAAACATCACTTACTACAATGAAGAAGATAGAATATAATGTAAAAAGCGTATAGTGGATAGATAACGGTGTCTTTGGGAAAAGACGGGTCGCGTGCTTTTGCTTCCGACAAGTGCATTCACTAGCTTCAGTATTTCTCGAAGAGTGTCTGTGAAAACGTTGTCTATCAATTGTTGTTTTTTTTTTTTTAAATCTATTGAGTTAAATTTGAGTGATTATTTATTTTTGTGTTCTAATTTTTAATTTTCGGCCGTGTTTATATCACGCCCACGTGGCGAAATAAATTTGATTGTACACATTAAGTGAAAATTATGGGTAAGTAAAAAAAATGTGTTATTATTTCTCGTGCGGTATATATATATATATATAGGTATATATACATAATGTGCAATTTCTTTTTCTTGGAAATTGGATTTGATTTCATTGAGAGATTAATTATTGTAATAGTTATCATTATATTAGATAATTTAACTGTTGCACTGCAGAAAAAATTTGTTTGATTCAAATAACCGATTACTTGTCTATTATCAAATATAAATATTTACTTGAATCAAAGAATTTTCATTTAAATCAATTATAATTGATTATATAATTAATTTAAATAAATTATAATTAATTATTCCCTTGAAAATACTAAAATGATTGGTTCAATTAATTGGTTAAAATTCATTTTATTAAAATAAAAATTGTTTGAAATAATAACTATTTAAGTAAATATTTATTAGCCAAGTATTAAGTATTTATTAGCCAATAGCCAAGTAATCGAATATTTAAGTCAAATAAATTTTTTTAATGCGTTAGTCAAGTGAATTATTAAATTGTAATAAAATTAAATAAAATTATAATTATGATTGTAATAAATATTTTATGTTTTTTATTTTAATTCAAATTTGAATTTATATTATTATTATTATAATTTATTATTTAACAATGATTGAGAATATTTTATCATTTCGAATGTTTAATAGTACGTGGGAAAAAAATGCAGTGTGACAATTAGCATTTATGTTTAGGGTAATAAAAAATGGTTATAATTTGTTTTTGACATTTTTTGTAAAGTGCAAAAAAAAAAACTGGAGGCATTTTCTTTTTTAGTTTAGTCTATGTGTATCATACCGGAAATTCTACAAGCCGTTTCATTGTTAATTATATATTTTAACATAGGCAGATGAAATGTTACGGTTTCTTATAAGTGCAAATACGCTGAAGAATTTATTTTTTAAAGTAACTTTGAAAAGAAAACTAAAGTTGAAATACATCGTCTGAAAAAATAATATTATGTGAATGTTAATTTTGATTTGATTTCATTTTGATTTCATTTTATTTTCATTTGAATTCATTTTGATTTTATTTTGGTTTGATTTTGATTCTATTTCGATTTTGAATTGCTCTAATTTTAATTTTATTTCGATTCGACTTAATTTTTATTTGATTTTAAATTGCTTTAATTTTAATTTCATTTGAATTTGATTTTATTCGAATTTGATTTTATTTGAATTTGATTTTATTTTAACTTTATTTTGGTTTGATTCAGTTTTAATTCTCTATTGATTGGATTTAATTTTAATTCGATTTCGAATCGATTTAATTTTGAATTTATTTTGATTTTTGATTCAGTCTTAATTATCTATTGATTGGATTTAATTTTAATTCTATTTCCTTTTGATTTTATTTTGATTCGATTTAATTTTGACTTTATTTCGATTTGATTCAGTTTTGATTTTATTTTGAATTTATTTTGATTCAATTTAATTTTGACTTTATTTCGATTTGATTTAGTTTTTATTTTATTTTGACTCTATTTTGATTTAGAATTGATTTAATTTTAATTTTATTTCATTTTATCCGAATTTGATTTTATTTGAATTTGATTTTTAATTTAATTTTACTTTATTTTGATTTAGTTTTAATTTTCTATTGATTGGTTTTAATTTTAATTCTATTTCGTTTTGATTTTTTTTTCTTGATTTAATTAATTTTGATTTTATTTCAACTTGATTCAGTTTTGATTTTCTATTGATTGAATTTAATTTTGAATTTAAATTTTCCTAATGTAGAAAATAATTAAAACTTAGCTGTAAATTTAATTAATTTTTGTTTAGTATTTCTCAACAATTTAGGAACCATAATTTTTTTTTTTTTGAAAATTACATATAAATTGAAATAAAATTTAAAGGAAATTATAAAAAAAATCACATAAAAAGGGAAATAAAAATAAGCAGAGAGCGATAGAAAAGGGTGTAATAAAATAAATTGGTAGGAAAATAATAATAAGAAATGTAAATAACTAAATAGGAAGTAAAATAAATGGACTTTCATTAATATTGATACAATTAAGCCCTAAATAAATAATTAATGGGACTTGTTTTACTATTCAGTGTTTTCATTTTTATTGTTAGATAATTGAATTTGATATAATGAAGATCTTGAACGTGTTCTGGGAAATTTTTTTTATGAATTAATATATGCAACACTCTCGTGTTCACTTAGCACTTGAGACGTTAGGATCACTTGATTTTGAAGTATTCTTTTCTATAGTGCAGTCTAGGCTTATTGATTTTCAGTGAATTTTTATTTATTTTGTGTTTTTTTTGTTAAATCACGATTTTACGCTGTGATTTAGAAATTAAATTATTTTGAATTATTTTTAACTATTTTTAACCACCTTAAGTCATTTTAAATTATTTTTAATAATATTAAGTTATTTTAAATAATTTTTAATCATTTGCAATTATTTAAAATTTTTAGTTATTTTAAATTATTTTAGATTACTTTTAATCATTTGAAATTATTATCATTTTCAGTTATTTTAAATTATTTTTTAAAATTAAACATTTTAAATAGTTTTTAACTATTAGCAGTTATTTTTAGTTATTTTAAATTATTTTAATTATTTTTAGTTAATTTTAAACTATTAGCAATGAATTTTTGTTTTTTTAAATTATAAATATTAAATATAAAATCAAAATTAGATCAAATTAAACGCAAAATTAAATCAAAATCAAGTTTAGTTTTCTTTTCAAAATTATTATTGTATTATTTTCAGTTACTACAATTTTTTTTTTAATATTTTAAATAATTTTTAATTATTTGCAATTATTTTTAGTTATTTTAAATAATTTGTAACTATTTTTTAGTTATTTTAAATAATTTACAACTATTTTGAGTTATTTTGAATTATTTTTAGTTATTAATTATTATATAAGTTATAAATAATTGTTTAATTATTTAAATTTCTTGGAAAACCATTAGTTGTCTTTTTTAAAATATCAATTTTTCATTAGTAATAATTTTTTTTTTTTTAAAGAAGAATAATTATTTATTTTTTTGTAGGTATTTAGAAGTATTTATCGTGAAAGGTCACGCCGGGTTGTTCTTCATCAATGAGGAAAATTTCTTCTTAGTATTAATGTTATATCACTCATGTGGTTTTTGCGCGTTAACGTCAAAATGCTAATTATGTCTGTATTCACTAAAAATATTTTCAAATAACAAAGTACTCTTCATTCGACACTCAATCATTTCATTCTTCTTTTTTATCGCTTTTGATCGCTTTGAAGACAACTTCAATAAATAAAAAAATTATAAACATAAAAGTAGTAATTATTTTTTAAATAGTGGATGGAAAATATAATTATTTTGTTACTTTTGTTATTAACATTTTTTTAACATTTATTTTGTTTAGAAAAAATTGGTTACTATTTATTTCGTTCATAGGCAGTTTTGTTAATTAGTTTAGTTTTATTTAGTGTTTAATCCGTTAAAAAAATGAATTATTAACGTTATTTATACATTCATGGTTCATATATTCATTCTTGACGAATGAAAAAATATGATAATTAATTAATTATTAATATATACAAGAATCTAAAATAAAAATTTGGTGTTTTGCACTTTTTGAATTTTCTGGAAGTATACATAAAGGTATATTTAAAAGAAAACGAATAACAATTCAAATTTACGCTCTGCTGGACAGAGAATTCAGGCCCGTAATAATAAAAGCCTTGTGTGCATCGTTCAGGAACAGGGACTTAAGTATTCAATCTGTATATATATAGTTTTAATCGCGGGTCATCTTCTTATTCGATGGCTCTCTGCTATTTACAAGATAAATATTTACAGATACTTTTCTTTATGTGCGAGATATTAAAAAAAAAACACGTAAAATAACATTATTTTTTTTTGCATAAACTTAAGAGAGAGTTTGTAACCATAGTGATATCGGTAATAATAGTAATATCTAATCTTATTGTCAGGTTATCTATTAATGATTTAATCTCTTCATGATACAAGTGTCAGAAACAAATCTTTTGACTTTTCATTTTTCATCAAAATGAATTTTAATTTTCAGTGTAAATTTGTTTACATTTTATGCGTGTTTGATTTAAATATTCGTTATTCATGGTTATATGTTATCTTATGTCTAAGTTATTTAAATGTCTTTTTGAAAAAGGAATAATTAAGATGAAAAAGCTTATTTTTAGTTTCTGACATTTACTGTTGTTTTTTTTTTTTAATTATGTTGACTCACTGAGTCATTTTGATTCGGATTGAGAATTAAGTGAATTTTAATTCATTAAATTTTTAATTAATTTTTAATTAATTAAAGCATATTTAACAAATACATGATTTTATGCAATGGACATAAAATTCTTTTAATATAATTTCTATTTGACACGGAAATCACTTGACATCAATTTTATTAGACACAAAAATAATTTGACACAAATTTTAATTGACATAAATTTCATTTGTCGTGAAATTTGTTTGATATAAAATTTATTTGACGCGTAAATGTCAAATGATATAAATTTTAAATTTAAAAATATTTTAACATTTCTATTGTGATTAGAGTCTAATAATAAGCCGAAATACGGAGGTATTAGGAACTTTTTAAAAATTTATCGAAAAACATTTGTAACTTGAAAAAGAACGCTGGTCCTGACAATTTTTTTTAAAAAGATTTAGAGTCGAAATTCGAATTTGGGCTTTTTTTCATGAAAATTGAAGCTTTTTTCTTAAAGAAGAGCTTCTTCCGAAACAAGGAAGTATTTAGAACATTTTTAGAATTTATTTCCGACTCAGAAAAAATTTTTGTTTTAAAAAATGACACTGGTCTTGACAATTTTTTAAAATAATTTTTGAAGGCGATTATCAAATTTGTGCTTTTTTCATCAATTTAGAGCTTTTTCCATTAAAAAAGAGCTTTTCCGAATTTTTTTCGGAATTTATTTCCGATTCAGACAAAAATTTGTATCTTGAAAAAAGACGGTGGTTTTGATAATTTTCTAAAAAAAGTTTTGGATTCGAAAATCAAATTTGAGCTTTTTTCGAAACAAGGAAGTACTCAGAACATTTTTAGAATTTATTTTCGACTCAGAAAAAAATTTTGTCTTAAAAAACGACGCTGATCTTGACAATTTTTTTAAAAATAATTTTTGAAGACGATTATCAGATTTGGTCTTTTTTCATCAATTTAGAGCTTTTTTTTAATTAAAAAAGAGCTTTTTCCAAAACACGGAGGTTTTTAAACTTTTTTAGAATTTATTTCCGATTTAGACAAAAATTTTTTAGGTATCTTGACAAAATGCGCTGATCTTATAATTTTATTTTCACAATTTTTGTAGATGATTATAAAATTTGTCCTTTTTCATCTATTTGGAGCTTTTTTTATTAAAGAAGAGCTTTTTCCAAAATACGGAGATACTCAGAACTTATTTAGAATTTATTTCCGATTCAGAAAAAATTTGTATCTTCAAGAACAACGCTGGTTTTGACAGATTTTTTAAATATTTTTTTTAAATCGAGTATCAAATTTGGGCTTTTCTTCAACAGTTTGGAGCTTTTCTTTAATAAAGAAAAGCTTTTCCGAAACACGGAAGTTGTCAGAATTTTTTTAGAATCTTGGCAAAAGGCGTTGGTCTTACAAGAATTTATTTTCACAATTTTTGTAGGCGATTATCAAATTTGGGCTTTTTTCATCAATTTGGTGCTTTTTTTATTAAAGAAGAGATTTTTCAAAACACGAAGGTTCTCAGAAATTTTTTAGAACTTAATTTGGAAAAATTTGTATCTTGAAAAACGACGCTGGTCTTGTAAATTTATTTTTACTATTTTGATAGTCGAATATCAAATTTTTGATTTTTTTCATTGAATTGGAGCTTTTTTTTTATTAATAAAGAGCATTTTCGACACACGGAAGTACTCAGAATATTTTCAGAATTTACTTCCAATTCAGAAAAAATTTGTACTTGAAAAACGACGCTGATTTTGACAATTTTTTTTTTAATTTTTAGAGTCGAATATCAAATTTGGGCTTTTTTTATCAATTTGGAAAGTTTTTTGTTATTAAAGAAGAGCTTTTTCCGTATCACAGAGATTTTTAGAACTTTTTTAGAATTTATTTCCGATTGAGAAAAAATTTGTATTTTATTGAAAAACGACGCTGGTATTGTAAATTTATTTTTACTGTTTTTGTAGTCGAATATCAAATTTTTTTCTTCATTGAATTGGATCTTTTTTTATTATGAAGAGCTTTTTATGAAGAGATTTTTTATGAAGAGCTTATTCCAGACACACGGAAGTACTCAGAATTTTTTTTAGAATTTACTTCCGATTCAGAAAAAAAAAATTTTATCTTGAAAAACGATGTTGGTCTTGACAATTTTTTTAAAACAAATTCTGTAGACAATTACCATTATTTGGGCTTTTTTCGACGTCGGTATAAATTTTATGTTAAATAAAATTTGTGTAAAAAAATTTTGTATTAAATGAATTTTATGTCAAATGACATTTATTCCAAGTGATTTTTGCATTAAATGGGAATCATGCTATATAAATGAAGTTTATGTCAAATGAAACTTATGTTAAATGAATTCTATGTCAAGTGATTTTTATGTCAAATAAAAATTAACGGAAAAAAAAATGTAGAGAATTGGTATTGGAAAAAGTGGCTAAAATATTTTACAATTCAGCAAAATGTGGAATAACTTTTTTGAGGTAATAATTGTTAAAGATTGTTAATTGTAAAAGATGCTAAAGGTTCGTAAAAGATTGTAAAGTAATTAAATAACTTAGTAAAAGTTCATTTTCTATTTCTTTAAAAAAAAAAAAAAATTCTTATTAGTATTAATTATATAAATAACATTGAAACTACGTTAATTACATTGTCTGCGGTAATTATTATTTACGTTCGAAATGATAAAAATCTAATTTCCAACTTTAGAAATTCAAAAATAAAATTTATATAAGTAAATTAAGTGAAATAAATTTCTAATTAAATTTTTGTCTCCTTTATAATTATTTCATTATATTACTATCAGTATCATTTTTTATATTATTATCATTATTTTTTTATTATTATTATTGTTTAATTAAATAAAAAATAATTATTCTTTCTCTTTTTTTCTGCAGACAGATCTAGATTTGCATATGCGACAGCGGCGGCCGTTGGGGCGAGTACAGCAATTTTCTTTGTATGGTGGTGGTGGATAAAGAGGCAAAAGGACCAGCCACCATCGCGATGGCGAAAAGTCGGTGAATTAAGTGATTTAATTTGTTTTCCGGTTAAATCACTTGGACCAGTGCGAATGAACACCATGGAGTGTACGCCACTTGGTTTAAAGTCCGGTTGGCTGAGAGACAGAACCCTCATGGTCATTGATCTCAATGGGCAATTTGTCACTGGCAGACAAATGCCAAGGATGGTCCAGGTTGGTTTGAGCCAATTTCATTTGGCGCCAATTATTCATTCACAGCGATATTTGCCCGGGCACATTTAATGATTTATCGCTTCATACAATGTAAATTATTATCGCTGAAATTAACATTCGTGAATAATTATGTACTTTCACTGGTGTGTGACGCGACGTATCTAATGATTTATTTTTATTTTTCGCGCAATACGGCCAAGGATCAATTTTTTTTTAATTTTTAACCAAATTAGTTAAATTAAATTAAAGTTTGTCTGAGTGTCTCAAATTATTTATTCGTCTTGAATAAAAATTTTATTCTGCAAAAATGTTATTTGAAAAATAAAATTTATTTGTCTTGAATAAAAATTTTATTCTGCAAAAATGTTATTCGTAAAATAAAATTTATTCGTCTTGAATAAAAATGTTATTCTGCAAAAATTTTTTTCGAAAAATAAATTTTATTTGGTCCAAATAAATATTTTATTCGCCCAACTAAATTTTATTTGGCTCAAATAATAATTTTATTCGACAAATAAATTTTTGTTTGGTTGAAATAAAAATTTTATTCGACAACTAAATTTTATTTGGCTAAAATAAAAATTTTATTCGACAAATTTTATTATAAAATTATTATTACGATTTTTTAATTTGAAATTAAAAATATCTCAATTTACTTTCTTCCATGTGACTTGGAAAAAAGAGAACAAACAAGATAATTGAATGAGTAACAATAGATTTTTCTTCATTGAAATTAATGAGAATTATTTTAATGTCTGTTTATAAATAATGATTCTTGACTGATGTTCGCTTCATTGAACCGTTATTCCTGTGGTTTATAGAGGAGTAGCATTTAATATTTATTTTGTTAATGACGAAAAACGTTTAAAGAAATATTTCTTCAATTAACCGCTAAGTTAACAACCCGGAAATAATTTTATTTTATGATTGCAATTTCAAACTTATCAATCTACATATGATTCATTAGTGACAAATTTAATTATCTTTAATTTATATACTCAGTTTGACAATATTTGCCATATTTCACTGTGAATGATTAAAAATATAACTACTTTGATGATAACATCTGTCATGTAATTATAGCTTCATATCAGTTTATTCATTTCGTTGAGAATTTCTCGAGTAGAAAATATAATTTTAGAATTGCATTTTTATTTTTACTGCAGAATTTGTTTTATGCTTTTTAAGAATTATTTTTTAAATTTTTATTATTTTTTCGGTATTATTTTATTTTATTGTTACTATTAACAATAAAATATTAAATTAATATTACTAAATTATTTATTTGTTTTAAATAACAATTTTGTTTGATACAAATATAATTATTCTTTAAACCAAATATAATCTGGGTTGCCACGAGTCAGGGCATTCAGGGAAAAGTCAGGAAAAGTAGAATTGGTCAGGAAAAAGTCAGGGATTTTTATTAAAAGTGCTGGAAAAAATTAAATTTGAAGAATTCATAAGAAAATTCTAAATTTTTGTGTCTCTTTTTTGTTTGCCTTATAAACTATGAAATTACCACAAATTATAATGAAAAATCTTCAATTTTTTGTATTTCTTTTTAATAACTTAATTCTTTAAGAATTATCACAAAATTATTATTTATAAATAAATTATTTAATGAATAATTTTATTTAAATATTTTAAAATTAATTGAATTTTAAAAGAATTGCGTTTTCAATTTTCATAAATAAATCAACTTCAAAAGGTTTTAATTTTAAATTTTAGAAAATTTCAATTTTAAATAAATTTAATTAGAAATTTTGAAGAACTTAGATTTTTGAAAAATTTTAATAAATTGAAATTCTTCTGAAATTAGTTAAATTTTTTAATGTACATTTAATTAATTATTAAAAATAATGGATTTATAGAAGAATTTTAGTTAAAAACAGTTTAAAAAAATTGAATTTTTACGAAGTTACAAATAATTGCAAAAATTCAATTATTTTCAAAAGTAATAAAATTCTTCGAAGAAATTCAATTATGTTCAAACATTTTTAAAAATTCTCGTCAAAATTACAATTATTTTCACAAATTTTCCTCAATTTTTAAAAATCTAATATTTCAATAAAATTTCCCTAAAAAATTCAAATTATTTAAAAAAAAATTTTGAAAAAAATCTACCTAAACATTTAATTCTTTTTATAAATAATAAAAAATTTACAGAAATTCAATTATTTACAAATTTTTTTATAAATTTCTTCAAAATAATTTCATTATTTTCATAAATAATAACATTTTTTACAAAGGTTGAATTATTTTTATTAATAATAAAATTCTTTTTAGTAATTCAATTATTTTCATTATTTTCATAAATAATAAAACTCATCTCAGATTTTCAATTTTTTTTTTTTTTTACAATTTTAATCGAATTCCTCAAAAAATGTAATTATTCTCAAAAAGTTTATTAAAATTCGTCGAAATAATTAAATTTTAAGAAATAACAATTATTCAATAAATTATTTATTTTTCTATTTAAACAATTGAAGTCTCGTAAAATTTGTTAATAAAAATTGTTTTAAAAATGAATTTTAGTTTTCAAATTTTTAATTTTTAATAAATTAAATTAGAAAATTTTAAAGAACTTATATTTTTGAAAAATTCTGATAATACAAATTCTTCTGAAATTAGTTAAATTTTTTAATATATATTTAATTGATTATTAAAAATAATGGATTTATAGAAGAATTTTAGTTTAAAACAATAAAAAAAATTGAATTTTGTAGAAGTTACAAATGATTGCTAGAATTTAGTTATTTTCAAAAATAATAAAATACTTAGCAAAAATTCAATTATGATAAAAAAAAAAAAAAAAATTCGTCAAAATGCCAATTATCTTTATAAATAATAAAACTCATCGCAGAATTATAATTATTTTTATTAATACAATTTTAAGCAAATTCCTCGAAAAATACAATTCTTAAAAATTTTATTAAAATTCGTCATTCAATTATTTTAAAAAATTTTGATGAAGTTCTTTATAAAGATTCAATTCTCAGAAATATTAAATTATTTAAAAAAGATTATTTATTTTTGTATTTAAATAATTGAATTCTCGTCGAATTTCGGAATTAAAATTGATTTAAAATTGAAGTACAGTTAAAATTTTAGATAAAAATTGAATATTAAAAACATTATAGCGTGAGTTTTTAGAAATAGGAGAATTTTTATAAGGTTTCAAATTAAAAACTTTGAAAATCTGAATTTTTTACACTTTTAACTAACAATTCTGTTTCAATTTAATTATAAAAAATAATTGATTTGTATAATTTTTAATTTCTATGGAAAAATAATAATGATTAAATATTTATTGAAAAAAAAGTTGTGGATTTTTTCGAGTATCTGATCATTTTAAGAGTGAATCAGAATATTCTTTATGTTCAGGGAAAAATTCAAGATTTTGTCTGTAAATCAGGGAAAATTCAGGAAAAAACAAAATTTAATTTTTGTGGCAACCCCGAAAATATTAAAAATATTAGAAATCTTACTTATGGTTTTTAGTATTTTTTAAATATTTATTTATTATATTTATTTATTTATTTTTAAATATTTTTTAAAAATATTTTCTAATATTTTCTTATTTTTAATATTAGTTCTCTCTGAGATGTCTCTAAAGAAAAGAATTGAAATTTTTGTAGAATCTGGTTGGAAATGAAAAATAAATTTCCAGCAGTTTTATCAAGAATTGATTTTTAAAAAAAAAATTTTTTTATCTTTAAGGTATCGCCAAGTGTATCGGAGTCATATTTAACACTACGAGCTCCAGGAATGATGGCGGTGTCAATTGATCTTGCGAGAATTCGAGGAAAAAGTTTTCGAGCCGCAGTTTGGGGACAATCAGTGCAAGCTTGCGATTGCGGCGAGGAAGTTGCGAGATGGCTGTCGCGTTTTCTTCTTCAAGAAGACGTTGGTCTTAGACTCGTTTATTATCCGTTAGATCGACCATCGCGAGAAGTGAGAACCAAGAACAAGATCTTCCCGTTGACTGAAAGTATCGACACGGTATGTTTTTGAATTTTTTTCCCCTCTTTATTCTTAAATGCATTTTTACCTTGTCGTCGTTGTCGTCGTCGTCGTCGGAGTTATTCAGTGATTCTTAAGATTAACGGAATACCATCTGTTGCCATTGCACAGAAATGTTTTTGTCTTTTTTTTTTTGCTAACCTGTTTCTTGAAAATTGCACACATATGTCTATGATAATATTTTATTATTACTACAAGATTGCAGGAAGTCCGAGGAGGAAAAAAATGTCCAGTTTTTGTTCACTTTCAATCGTATTTTTCAATTCTCAATATTCTTCATTGCGAATATGATTTTTCGCTTCGATAAATTTTGCTCCGGTTTGAAGAATTCTGCAGTAATTATTGTTTTTCTTTTTATTGTTCGCAAAAATATTCTTGTTCCTCAATTTTCAAGGAAAACAGGGCTCGAACTAGGTCCGTAAATTTGCTTAAAGTCCGTAAAAGTTATTTGACTCGGACTGATTATATTTTTGTCAGCAATTGGTCCGTAATGTCCGTATTTTTAAATATTTTCATTGGTTCGAGCCCTGAGAAAAATAAAATTGAGAAATGGAATTTTTAGCGAAATAGCAAAATTTTGAACATTTTTTTTCAATTAATTTTTTTTAGATTCGAACAATTTGAATGAGGTAGAGAAAAATTGTCTATGGAAGAGGAGAATAAAATATGAGAGAGAAGAGAAAATAGTAACAAAAAAAAATTTTGTCTCTCAGGTAACAAATGATGTAATGTGAAATTTCGAATAGTGAAGAATTCTCAATTTTTTCTAGGGAGCTTATCCTGACGCAACAAGTTACACCTTGTTGAATGAAGCATCATTAGCGGATTTAAATAATCGTCTTGAGGAACCAGTTAATGCGTTGAATTTCCGAATGAATTTTGTGGTGAAAGGAGCTGATGTTTTGGAAGAGGATTATTGGGATTGGATAAAAATTGGAAATACAGTTTTTCGAAATGTAAAGCCATGTTTGAGATGTATTTTTACGACAGTGGATCCTGAGAGTGGGAAAAAGAATCCAAAAGTCGAACCTCTTAAGACGCTAAAAGGGTAATTAAAATTATTATCAATCAGAGAAAACGAATTTTCAATTTTACATTTATTTATTATGTACAAATAAAATAATATTTATTATAAAAAAAAATCTCGAAGATATATTAAATTTAAAAGCAGTTACTATTTTTATTCTTTATTTAATAAATTTAATAAATTACTAACAAAATCATAAGGCCTGTAAATTGATTCATAAGTACAGACCTTGGATAATGTGATTTTTCGACTTATTTTCAAAAATTGGGTCTTTTTCACAATTTAATGGAAAATAATTGTTTTTCTGAATTATTTCTTTGAAATTTTTGAAAAATCAATATTTTATTAATTTTAATTGCAAATTTCACTCGGAGTGATCGATAATTTCATGTTTTATAATAATTAAAGATGACCAAATGATAAAATCATTATTTTATATTATAAGAAAATTGTTAGTTTTTGCCATAAAAGAGAAGAAAAATTGTTGAATTTTAAGAAAATCGGTTTTTTGAATTTTTGATAATTTTAGATTTTTTACCAAACGTTGGATATTATTAAATAAGTTAAGTGTTTTCTGAGAGCACAAAAATAATGAAGTTAAATCCCATAAAAGAGAGGAAAAAATGTTGAATTTTAAGATATTCGAATTTTTGAATTTTTAGGAATTTTTTAAAAATTTTAGATTTTTTACTAAACGTTGGAGATTATTAAAAAAGTAAAATGTTTTTCAAGAGCACAAAAATAGTGAAGCTAAATGCCATAAAAGAGAATAAAAAATGTTGAATTTTAAGAAATTCGGATTTTTGAATTTTTGGTAATTTTCGATAATTTTGGATTTTTTACCAAAGAGTCGAGACTATTTAATAAGTAAAGTATTTTACAAGAGCACAAAAATAATAAAGCTAAATGCCATAAAAGACAAGAAAAAATGTTGAATTTTAAGAAATTCGGATTTTTGAATTTTTGATAATTTTTAATAAATTTAAATTTTTTACCAAAGAATATTTATTTAATTAAATTATTGAAGTTTGAAATAATTAAATTCAGAAGATAGTAAAAGGTCAGAAAAGTACAGAATGAAAAATTTTTATAACAAAAGTGATACTCTATATTTTACAAAACTATTAATTGCATAATTTAGAAAATTACAAATTTTATATTTAATTACAAATTAATAATTTGAAATACAAAATCCCAAAAATTGTGAAAAAATTGTAATATTTAAATTTTTAAAACTATTATTCAAATTTGTGTAATAGAATGATTTTTTAAATTACAGATACCGTCAGATAACGGATCCAGAAATACGACCGGCGACAGGCGATTATCCCGTGATGGGAATTCACTTAGGATTAAGAAGTAAAAATGGAACAATTCGTCTCGGTGATCCTGTTTATGTGAATATTTTGGAAAAAGAGGAGGCAATATTGAGTACGCCTCCATAGCATCATCGTTGGGACTCGTGTGATGAAAAAATTGTCCTCCTTCCCGAGGATATGGATCAAATTACTTGAAATGACAATTTGTAAAATTATTCCCATAGGCAAAGAAAATATTTTACAAATTTTCAATTTTTATTTATTTATTTTTTTTTTTTTTGAATATCAGAGGGAAAAAAACATGATTTTATATTTACAGCGGGAAAATTTTTATACACGGTGGAAGAGATTTTTCCTTTCACTCTTTTAATATCGTAAATAAATATTTTTCGATGAAACGATTTAATAAAAAAAAAGAGTACAAATTTTTAATGTACAAACTAATACTCCATGGGTATTAGAAGATAGAAATGATTTTTTATGCGAAGAAAGGAATTTAAATTTTCAATTTTTTACAAATTTTTTTTTGTAAAACAAATCCTTTTGTTTAGAAGTACTTTTTCTAATTTTCTATTCTAGGTTTTACTAATTTTTAACATCAAAACGATATTTGGTGATATTGTTCGAGATAATAGAACATAAACGATAAATATTATTGATAATATTTAAATTAAATTTTAGAAGATTTTTTCAATTAAAAAATTGAATAGAAAAATTAAACAATAAGTTTTTTTTTCTTGTTTAATATTTATTTTATAATAAGAAGTCAAAAACTGGAACGAGGTCTTTAATTTGTTGCGTAATTGTAATTTCTTTAATTATATGGAAGAGTCTATGACCTAATGATGCTCTTTGTACTTTAAATTGTTCATTATTCACGTGAACACGAATGGAGCACAATTTAATAATTATATTAATTAAACTGGCACTACGATGACTTATTTGTCGAAAATTATTTGTACAATAATTTTAATATAACTTATTGTAAACGGACTCATAATTATGTAAATATATTATCACACTGTTATTTATATCTGTTAAAATCAATTTCTTTATTAATTTAAAGAAATTGTATTTGTACTTTAAACTGATTTGAAAAAAAATAATTTAATCGAAATTATGATATTTTATTAAATTTGATTAAATTTAATAAAAAAGTAAAACAATCAATGAAAACAGAGAAAATGTAACACAATGTAAACAATGTAATTCAAGTGCATGAATTTTTGAATTTTGATGGAATTGAATAAAATGTACCAAGATTTGATAAAAGAATTTTATTTTCGGATTTACAAGAAAAGAAATGCAACAACAAAAATATTAATAAGTGTTTCTTTTTTTGTAGAATAATATTTTAATTATTTATTTAATTATTTTTAATTTATTTAAAGATTATTTTTAACATTCAATTATTTAATTATATTATTTGTAAATAAATAAATAGGTAAACGATATAAAAATTAAAATAATTGATAATATGTTAATTATTTAATGCTTTTTTTGCGGAATGATAAAATTGAAATTAATTTTGTTTGAAGGGTTTTAAAGAAAAAGTCGATTATTCAATTTTATTACAATAATAATATTATGTAAATATTTATTTACACTACAAAATAACAAAGACCATGTACACTGGGAAATAATTCTGTCAACTTAACTAGAACAAAAACTAAAAAATAGTTCACACAATTGAAGTGATGTCGAAATTTCCTTCTTTGAAAAATTTCCCCAAAAACTAAATAATTAGGATATGATTTTTTTTTCTGACAATTTTCTATTTTCCTTGGCATCAATCGATTATTATTATTTTTTTATTTATAATAAACTACTAAATATTCTCAATGGATTTCCGAGCCTCCTTTGATCCGTATTATTTTCTTCTGATTTTTTTTTATCTACAGCCTTTTTTAACAAGATTTTATTGTAAAAATGTCACAATGGGAATCTATAATGTATATTTATATATAATATAATAATAAATGGTAAAAACAATCAATGCCTGGCACTGTTTGCAGTAAATACTATTTACAAGTTTTTCGTCTTTCTGACTGATTTTTAGCCATTACAGAAATCCTTTTTCGATTTTTTGTTTTTTTTTTTGACGAAAAGTAATAAACAATAATTGTATTTTAATAATATGTATATATACAATTTTTACTATTGAATAATTATTAATTTTTTTCGTATAGAATTTTGCAGAAAAGAATCAAACATTTTTTATTTTGTTTTCGTTTTGAAAGAGGAGAAAGAAATTTTTTTCTAAAGAATCGAAGAAAGATTTCTGTTAATTACCAACGAACAACGCGACAACTATCACATAGTCTAAGCATACTTTTTCATTTTCGATGGGAATCGAAATTTTTTTTTTTAGGTGAAAAAGATGTCGGACACCCCGCAGATGATGAAAATTATTAATTAAAAATGACTACACTATTACGCACAGCTTCTGAGCAATTTCATATTTCATTTAAAATAAAAATATTCGCAATTTTTCAAATCTTTGTTGAACAATTTTTTTTTCTCTTTTTCTATGACCAAAGTAAAAGCGAATTTTTAGTTGTATTCAATCTAGAATTTAAAATACAATTTTCGTTATAAAAAATTGTTTCAAAAACTAAGTTTAAATTTTTCAATAATTTAAAAGTTTTTTAGTTTAAATTTTAAAGTAATTGGACATTTTTTTCGTTTCAACTTTAAACTAATTAACATTTTCTTTTGTTTAAATTTTCAGCTAATTAACATTTCTTTAGTTTGGATTTTAAAATTTTTTTTTAGCTTACAAATTTTTTAATGTACAATTTTCTAAAAAATGATTAAAATTCCCTCTTGCATTTTTTGTAAATACAAGTTGCAAGCAAAAGAGAATAGAAAAAGAAAGTTTCGTCGAAGTAAAAATAGAAAAATAGTGAAATTAAATAAAAAAAAAAAATTGTGATTTGACTGTTTTGACGAAATACTTTCGAGGTTGGGAATTAGAATACACTATTTTAATATACAATTTAATTAATTTGTGGTGAAGATTCTTTTTTTTCGCATTGTCGCCAATAATTCACCAACCGTGTTCTTGATTTGAATATTTTTAAGAATAAAAAACAACAAAATGCTTTTTATTCTTAAAAATATTTATTTGTTTTAGTAATTTTCTTTGATGATTCTCAATTAAAAAAAAAGAAATGGCTAAGGAGCATCATCAAATTTCAGATTTTCCTACTTTTACGATATGAGCTTCCTAATCTTGACGTGTCCTAGATGATGGAAGTGATCAATCGCGCCTTAAAGTTGACAATTCGTTCGCTTGTCGCTGCCAAACGCTGAAAAAAAATTAATTTTATTATTAATTATTTTGTTGTGGTTAGAAAAAAATTTGTATTATACAATTTTGAAAAGTAGCTCATTTTTTTTATTCGCAAACTGAAAAAAAATTATTTGATTCAAATAATTATAATAAATAATTACTTGTCTATTATCAAATAAATATTTACTTGAATCAAATAGTGTTTAATTAGACGAAATAAATTTTTTCAGTGCTTTTTTATATTTTGTAATTTATTTAAATAATAATATTGTCAATATTTACATTCCCAATCAAAAGTTACAGAATTTTAATTTTCTCTAAATTTTAATTAGTAAAAATGATCATTTATTATACGGAAGTTCTAATTAATTAGAACTAAATAAAATATTTTATAACAAAAATTGTTTTAATAATTATGTAAAAATTTCTATTAAAGTAGTAAAATTATTATGTTGTAAATTTTTAATTTGTAATTTTGAAAAAAGTGGATAATTTTTTGTTTTCAAGTTTCTCTACTTTCTTGAGTCGTCAAGGACACTTTTGTATTTGACAAATATTATAATGAGGGGTCAGTGTAATTTGGTGGAAGTTCTGTGGGATTTGTTCTTGCGTGCCAGGAGCGAATAGCCGCGGAACTTGCATAAGTCAACCGGCAAATGAACGAACGAACTATTTCATAGAGAAAGTCCAGTACATTTTTACTTTCCATCGATCTAAGAATTATTATATAATTGCAATTATATCTGGAACATTGCAGATTCGCGCTGGTCTTATATTATATATTAATTATTATCACATCGTTAAGCTCTTTATAATATCATTTACCTTGTGCAAAAAAAAAAAAAAAAAATCCGAAATTCGTATATAAATTACTAAAATATTCTATTTTTTCTGACGGTGAAAAGAGGAATTGTTTATGTAAACTATTATTAGTTTTATTGTATAATATTTGAGTGTAACGTATTACCTAATTATTTATTTAAATTAGGTAATTATATTTTTGAATTAGGTAATTATTTATTCGAATTAGGTAATTGCATATTTAAATTAAATAAATTAGTTCTTCAATTTTTCGAATGATTAAGTAGTGCAACTTTTTAATTAATTTTTAGTGTAATTAGATATGTGTCATAATTAGATATCAAATTTTATTGTTTAAGGTTACTTAATTTTTGGCTAATTAATAACTTATTAATTAGCCAAAAATTAATTAAAAACCCACGTAATTATATTTTTCTAAATACGTAATATTATCTATTAGGTAACTATAAAAATTAATTATCTATTCAGATAATAATCTATTTAATTATCAATTATTTATTTTAACTATTTGATAATTTAATTTTGTAACCCAATTGTCGATTATAATTCAGATATCAACAGAGATCTTTTGATTGGAAAAAATATCTAATTAATTATTTATTTTAACTATTTGATAATTTAATTTTGTAACCCAATTGTCGATTATAATTCAGATATCAACAGAGATCTTTTGATTGGAAAAAATATCTAATTAGTGAATTTAATTACGTAAATGACCATTACCTAATTATTCGTAATTTTCGTTAATTATTAAACCAAAATATCGTTAAATTATTGTTATTATTTTTTTAAGAACTTTAAATCTTTTTAAAGAATAAAAATATTAAATTATTATTAATATTAATATTTTATGAATTCATATTAATTAATTAATATAATTAATATTTTATTAATATTTAATATTAATTGATATTAAAATACTTTAAAAAAAACTTGTTTTGAAAAAAAATAAATAAATTTGTTTTTGAATAATTTTTGCGAACGAATGGTTTGAAAGCGGGGATTTTAAAAAATAGAAAAGTTTTCTATTTGAGTGATAAAAATAATTTTTCCAAATAAAGGAAGTACGTCAGTGAGTGACAGTAAATACCGTGAGACTCTTCAAACAAACAGGATGGTAAATACGTGCTTCATTTGGAAATCATCATCATCACAAAACATTATCACTATGAAGTGTGAATATAAATTTTAAGTGTCGTGATATTTACAAAAAAAAGTTAAATTAAAAAAATATTTAAATTCAGGTAAGTAAAAATAGTTTTTCCATTCTTTCTCCTTTTTATATTTTTTTTAAAATTAAATAGTTAGTTAATAGAGATATTGTATACAAATTTGAATAAATTATAATAAAAGAGTTCCCCTACTCTCCCCTTTTAAGGAAGAAAAAATAAATTGTTAATAATTATAATTAATAAATGATTGTTAATTGAATTATTATTATTTTGTTGAACAATAAATATTAATAAATAAAGAAAATTAATAATACAATTGTAAAAAAACTTAAAAAGGTTAAATAATAATAATTATGATAATTTTTTTATTTTATTATTATTATTATTATTATTATTATTATTATTATTATTATTATTATTATTATTATTATTATTATTATTATTATTATTATTTGTTGTATCATTATTTTTATTGTTATTATTTTAATTATCAACATTTTTATTATAAATTATTAATATCATTGGTTATAAAGTACTTTTCTTTCTGATCGAAAAATATTTTAATTAAACTGTACATATGAAGTCTTGTTCCGTTTGCATGCGAATACGATTTCCTAACTTGACATGAATTAACCCCTTGAAAAAGTTACGATTATAATGTAACAAAAAAAAAAAAAATTGTAATTCTTTTTACAAATTGTCAATTTGAAAGTGAACGAGTTTTATAAACACGTTATAATAATTAACTTTTAATATTGTCAGTAGATCTAACTCAACGACTCATGAATGACTTTTCCGTCCCATATACCACTTGCCCAATACTTTTTCAATTAACATGTTCAAGGATTAGAAAATCATTTATGAATTTCATTAAATATTTAAATAATTTAATAAGTGGTGAATATTTTACAAATTGGTTTTATTAATTATTTAATAAAAATTTTAAAAATTTTTTGAAAATTCTAACCAAATTTTTTATTACAACTTTATTTTTGTTATGAAATTCCATAAATATTTTACTATATTTGAAGTAAATTGCAGTAAAAAACTAAAAATTAGTTAAATTTACTTCGGATTTGGTAAAATTCCCTTCAAAAAAAATTGTAAAATTTAATATTAATAATTTTTAGTTTATTTAATTGTTGCTCACAATAATTCAATAAACAGTAATTAAAGTCATTGTCCTCTGATTTTATATCAACTTCCGTATATCAAATATATTGAAAGAACCGTTTTGAATTAAAACAAAAAAACTGACGTCAAAGATTAATGAACTCATCATTTTAATTTTTACTATCAACTATAAATATTAATATTTTTTTTTTGCATTTGAAAGTTCAATGATCATTATCCGTTAGTTTAATTTCCTTCCATTTATAGAATAGTATTTGAAATTAAAATTCATAACGAAATACTTACGAGAATAAGGTCCTGAATAAGATTCGAAATTCCTCGATTTGCTATAACGAAAAGCCTCGTGATTGGTCCGGGAACAGCTTCCTGTCCACCTCCTGGCGATGGAGCGCCAGCCGCTGGGTCTGATTGACCACTGCTACTTCCACTTCCGGCGACCAACTGTAATCATCGCGGGGGAAAATTAGTTGTGCTTGCGAGATTGATAAAGAGCTCATATTGTAAATATATACAGGATTTTTTTTTTAATTTTTTTTTTTTTTTTTTTTTTTTTTTTTAATAGAAAAAAGGCAAATGCAGGATTTCTTGGGAGTTTTTATAGGAATATACAGTTGCGGCTCCACGTCCAGCTCCAGCGCTCCCGACACTACGGTGCTATAAATCCTTATAATCCTTTTGTGGCTATAGGCAATATATATAAAATCCTTCAATCCTGCTGCTTCCTTTCCAATCTTTAATAAGTGCTCCTTTGTTTCTTTGAGAAATTAAATTGCAAACAAAAAAAAAAGGACCAACAATTTTTTTTTTTGCTGGTTAAAATCTAAGACTGTGTGGAGAACAATTTTTTTTCGTCCTTTCGCAGTATGCTGTTTTGCGATTTTTTTTTTTTTTGTAAATGATGGAAAGAAAAATTTTCGCTTCAGCACACTTCGAAATGTGAACTTTTTTTGAGCGTGGAATATGTCTATATAAGGGTAAATAATAATTTTCAACTATTTATTCTTGTGGAACATTTTTTCGGTGACAATTCTCAGTGCGTTTTTTTGAGTATAGTAAAAATTTTGATTCTATAAATTGTTGAATTATTTCTTGGCTCCTGTTTAAATGACAAAATTTAGTAAAAGATCTTCAATTTTAGAAGATGATGTTTTTAGAATCAGAAGAAAAAATTTTTTTGACTATAATAATTATTAAGGTCATGAGATTTTTTACTGCGAGTATTTAATTATTACTCTGGGAATTGTAATTAAGTGGAAAAATAAACAACAAGCAATTTTATTTACACAAATGGAAATCTAATTAAAGGGAAATAAATTGGTACCAAAAAATATTCAATTGGTTGCAAAAACTGACGGATACCAAAAAGTATGAAATTGATAACAAACTGTATTAAATTGGTACCGAAACGTAACAAATCAATACCAAAAAGTATAAAATTGTTACTAGAATTTATAAAATTGATACTAAAATATATTAAATTGATACCAAAATGTATCAAATTGTTACCAAAATTTATGAAACGTTGATTCCAAAAGGTATGTAATTCGTACAAATATTTTTTTAAAAATACTTTTTGATATTAGTTTTTTAATACATTTTGGTATTAATTTGGTACATTGTGGTACCAATTTAATACAATTTGGTACCAATATGTCATTCTGGTATCTTTGGTACCACTTTGATCATTTTCTTTACCAATTTGATACATTTTGGTATCTTTGGTACGACTTTGATAATTTTTTTCTACTAATTTGATACATTTTAGTATCAATTTCATACTTTTTGCCTTTTTGGTATCTGTTAATTTTTGCAACCAATTTAATATTTTTTGGTACCAATTTATTTCCTTTGAATTAATTTTCAATGTCTGTAAATAAAACAACCTGCTTTTTATTTTTAAAATTAATTACAAATCCCAAAGTAAGAATTTAAAAATTATTACATAAATAGGAGTCAAAATATTTTTTTAGAAAGAAAAAAAAAAATTTCACTGAATATCAATTTTTTGGATATTTTCCGAAAATTCATTGAGAAAGAGAATCGTTACTGAATTAATCCTGAAGACTACAGAGTTCCTACAAAATTTTAAAATCAATTAAATTTTGAATGTATAAAAAATATTTACAATTTTCAAAATTTGCAAAAGTACAAATTCTGCGTTTCTTAAATTTTTTTTTTCGAAATTTTTTGAACATTACAAGAAAATATTATTTTTACCAATATACATAAAAAAAAAAATTTTGGTGCACACAATGAAAATCGATACGAGGGCCCAGACGAGATCCATTTAGCAGTTGGTTCGCCAAGTTTAGAAAAATTTTTTTTTATTTTATTTTCTTTTTTGTCAGCAGTGATTGTCAGCGTTGCGTCGGGACCGTTGGCAGAGTGGAACGTCTGGATAGCAATGGAATCGGATTGGATGATTATTATTTATTTTTTTATTAATTTATGAATGACTTGAATGAACAGATCAGTCGAAATGATATTAGGCGAAATGATTGAGTTACGATTATGGTTGATTAATAATTAATTAATTTTTAATTATCTAGAGAGAGATTATAATCAAGTTTTGGCTAATGAAACATAATTGTTATATAATCTTTGAACATAATAATTATTAATTTATTCATGGTATTTTTTGTTATTGTTTTTATTTTATTATTTTACTTTTTTATTTATTATTAATGATTATTCATTATACTACCTATTACCATTTTGTAATTATTTTATACCATTATTAGACATTGTATAATTATTATACAATAATTGTGTAGAATATTGTATAGATTATTTATATTGTACATAATATTTGTATATTGTATATAATTATTTTGAAAAAATATTTTTCTATTTATGTTATATACATTTATGCTAAAAGTAGCATGCTGTTGCATTTAACCGTAATCGCAACTCTAAATGATGATGTTTGTACTTTTGGAATGTTGTACTTTTGTGAAATTAACATTAAAAATTAAATTAACATTTTTTATGGAATTATTTTTCGATTACTATTTTTTTACTACTATTTTTCCTTTACTATTTTTCTTTTACTGTTATTTTATTATTTTTATTACTATTTTTCTATTACTATTTTTCCATCACTATTTATCTATTTCTATTTTTCTCTTACTTTTTTTTTTCATTATTACTGCGTTTTAATTATGCAAATGAATTTTTTTATAACACTGAAAACAATTTTTTTATTTAAATAAACTATTACTTGTTTGTTATCAAATAAATATTCATTTGAGTTAAATCATTTCTGTTTAAATGAATCAAATAAATTTTTTTCAAAGTAAGTATAAAAAGAAAGTTACAAATTTTTAAAGAAATTTTATTATTATTATTATTATTATTATTATTATTATTATTATTATTATTTTGTACTTATTTTTATCTTATTTTATTTATATTATTTTTGATTCTTTTCATTATTTTATATTTTTTATGAAGAATTTAAAAATTAATATTTTATAATGTAATTGTTATAAAATATTAATTTTTATCTTGTAATTAAAAAATATATATTCTAATACATTTTGAAGAAGGTAATAAGAAATAAGAAAAAGAAAAAAATAAACAATAAATAATATTAGTAATTATAATAATTATAATAGTATTAATAATATTTAATTAATTGGTTTTATTGTGATAGTTGGAGTTGTTACAATAATAATAATATTAATAATAATAAAAATTAAAAATAGATAATAATAATAAAAATAATAGTATTAATAAAAAATAATTAATAATTGCAATATTTCGGATAAAAATACAATTTATAGAGAATATTTGAGATGCGGACAAATATAGTATTAAGGAATTAAATAATATTATTGAACAGTACATTTACATTCTTGATATAAACTTTTTTTTAATTATGCATTTTTATCATTTGGTTAATATGAACATTAAATGAAAACACGATCAACATTTATTTCATTCTAATATTTGCACTTACTTGATAAGTTAAATTCCTTTTGCTTATATCCAAGCCCTTTTTTTTCTTTAATTAAAACATTTTTTTTTCGAGATACTTTTTTCCAAGAAAAAAAAGTACTACAACTCTCCAAAGTACATAATATGTATGAAATGAATATTTATATATAGAAAAATTATGATTATATGATAATAAACCACAAGGATGGTATAAAGAGAATTGGGAAAAAAGGAATTGCAAATAATGGTAATATTTCTTATTTCAAGAAACTTTTGCAATTATTTTCATTATTTTTTCTGTTTTTTCAAAAGAAAAAAAAATATTTAGGAAAAAGAAATCTTTATTAATAAAAGGATTTTTTATTTTTAAATCAAAAGATTAAATTTTTCCAGAAAGGGAATTTTCCTACAGAATTTAATTTATAAAACGATATTTATTGTTCGAAATGAAAAATATTGCAAAAATCTTGATAGACAAATTCATGCATGTGTTTGAAGAGAAAATAGAAAATTGCAGAAAAATATAAAAAAAATGATAAATAAATAAGAATAGAAAAGTTGATTTTTAGTATTAGAAAAAAGTACAACAGGTGAAAAGAGAAAAAAAAATTAGAATAAGTTTAGAAAGTGATTAGAAGAAGTATAAAAAAAAGAGTGTTGAATGAAATTTTAAAAAAGTATAGAATAGAAAAGAAAAATGCAGGAAAAATTAAAAAAAAGTGGAGATGAATTAGTTTTAGATTGAAAGGAATGTCAGATAGGAAGAAAAGTAAACTGTTATTTGTTTTCTTTTTTTTTTTAATATATAAAGTATTTCGACTATTTTGAAAAGCTAGAATAGTAAAATAGAAAAATACTACAATAGTTATAAAGTGAAATATAATGTGATTATAAAATAGGCAAGTCGTGATTTTGAGTGAAGTGTTAAAGAGGTGCTACGAGCAAGTAATTAACAGCTACAGTGCAATTAGTGTTTTCTTCCAGGTATTTATAGGGTGCTTCTGCATTAGCAGTTGCAAGTACAGCAATTAAAAAGTGAACAGAATAGAGAAAATGCGGTGCAATGTATATGTAATGTTTTTATCTTCTTTTGTTCTCTGTGTGAATTTAATTACAAAATAAAATAATCTGTAAAATTCTTACGCTGAGAGAAAATGTATATATGAATCCGATAATTGAGTACTTGACTATAGAAAATAAATATTTATTTTGCGCATCGAATAATAATTATTATTGTTATGAAAAAAAAATTTTCTATCAATTAATTCGTATTTGTTTGAGATAATTGTTTCTGGTACCAAATAATTTTTATTGGTACCAAATAATTTTTTACTGGTATCATAGAATTTTTTTTGTTATAAAATAATTATTATTGTTATACAAAACTGTTATTGGTACCAAATGATTTGATATTTGTATGAATAAATGAATTGTTATTAGTGCCAAATAATTATTATTGGTAATACTTTTAATTAGTACTAAATAATTGTTAATGGTACCAAATAATTGTTAATGGTACCAAATAATTGTTTACTGGTACCATCCAATTTTTTTTCTATGAAATAATTGTAACTGTTACAATTATTTCATATTTAATAAAATTATTTAATAAAATTATTTATCAATAACAAAATTGTTATTGGTACCAAAAGATTTCGTATTTACTGCTACCATAAAATTTTTTCGTATCCAATAATTGTTAAATTGTTATCCAAACTTCTTATTGGTATCAAATAATTGCTACTGGTACTCAATAATTATTATCGATACCAAATAATTGGTAATGATGTTGGATAATAATTAATGGTAGGTACCAAATAATTGTTACTTGTATAAAATGATTATTTTTCGTACCTAATAATTTTTATTGGTATATATAATAATTTTTTATAAAATTTTATCGGTACCAAATAATTTTTTTATTTTTGTCTTTTTTTTTTGTTATTCGTGCAAAAAATTGTTAGCTATAATAAAAATAGTATTGGTACCAAACAATTTATATTTGTATGCAATAATTGTTATTAGTACAAATAATTTCTTACTGGTACAGTGGAATTTCTAGTTGTACCAAATAATTGTTATTGGTACCAAATAATTTTTTATTGGTACCAAATAATTTTTTATTGGTACCAAATAATTTTTTATTGGTACCATATAATTTTTTATTGGTACAATATAATTTTTTACTGCTACCAGCTAATTGCCAATTGATATTGGTATAAAATAATTCCTATTGGTACTAAATAATTGTTATTGGTACCAGGTAATTTCTATTGGTACCAAATAATTGTTCTTGGTACCAGATAATTGCTATTGGTACCAAGTAACTACTATTCGAACCAAGTAATTGCTATTGGTACCAAATAATAGTTATTGTTACCATATAATTGTTATTGGTACCATATAATTGTTATTGGTACCAATTAATAGTTATTGGTACCATACTTTTTTTCTTCAATAAAATACAATTTCTCTTATTGAATGAAAAATTAAAGACTAGGTAAATATTTATTTCATAGTAGTCAAGTAGTCGCTTATTTGATCCAATCATTTTTTCTCCAGTTTAGCTTTTGGGCTAAATTATTTTACCTTTACTTCAAAAATTTAAATAAAAAATACACTTTTCGATTTTTATTAAAATTAAAATTTTTTTAAAAATAATAGTTAAAAATACGTAAAATTTAAATCATTTTTTAATTGAGTAGAAAGTGGAAATATTAACAAAAAAAAAAATGTGTGAATGAAAAAAAGATTGATTCGAAAAGGTTGTAAAAATGATGAAAATGTTTGTGTAAATTTGGTGGTGGTTCTTTTTTATTTTAATTTTTTTTTTTTTTTTTTTTTGACGTTGGTAGGAAGGATTTGGCGTACCGATGGTCTCGTGGCGTTTCCGGGCGCAGGGGCTGCTGGGGCAGCTGGCGCAGGGGGGGCACCTGGGGCGGCGGGTGGGGGAGCAGGGCCCACATCACGTGATGCGCTTAGGCCCAACCCGAGGCTTTGTGTACCAGCAACCACGCGGTACACTGTGCCCGCCGCTCTTGCCGCCCCGTCGGCTGCTTGCTAGGGAGACAGACGATCATGGTTTTATTTCTTTTTTTTTCTCCATCAAAATTGTGTATTCGATCACTGGAAAAAAATTCAATTCTCGCGATTCGATGTCCCCAAAAAACACAATTTATTTATCCACAAAAAAATCTTTCGCTCATTAATTTTGCTGTAAGAAAATTTTCTTCTCGTTCTCGTATTCCTTCAATCCATAGATAGCTATTTTTCTTTTTGCTGACTGACTTCTCTCACAGCCCTTTTACTTTTACAATTATTTAAATATTTATTAATTTATTATAAATTATAAGTATAAGTATGTAAATATATAAATTTATTTTTTTAATATCGATTCACAGTTTTTTCTAAAAAATATTAAATTGAGACAAAAAACGAATCAAAACGTTGCTTCGCAACATTTTAATTCGTTTTTTGTCTCAATTTAATATTTTTAGAAAAAGTATGATATTGTAAAAAAATATTATTATTGTTATTACCAAAGATTGGGGGAGGAAGCTAATAATCGTGTTTTTGTGCATTAAAATATTTAATTATTTATTTATATTTTTCACTTATTATTCTTTTTCATTATTCGCTTTATTTGTAAGTATTTTTATTTATTTTTTTAAACAATATACGGGCTTACAATAAGAAAAAATAATTACCCTTATTTTTTTATTCAGGGTTGCCACAGGTCAGGGAAGTCAGGGATTTTTTTTAAAAGTATTTTATTTATTAAAATTATTACTTAGAAATTATTTAATGAATAATTTTTACAATTTTCATAAATACTAGATTGATAGAAGAATTTTAGTTAAAAATACTAAAAAAAATTGAATTTTGGAAAAGTTACAAATGTTTCCAGAAATTCAATCATTTTCAAAAGTTATAACAATTCTTCGCAGAATTTCAATTATGTTAAAAATTAAAAAAAAAAATTCTCGTCAAAATTTCAATTATCTTTATAAATAATAAAATTCTTCATCGAAATTCAATTATTTTTATAAAATTTTAATAAAACTCTTGGCAAAATTTCACAGTAATTCAATTATTTAATTTTTAATAAATTTCTTCGAAATAATTCATATATTTTCATAAGTAATCAAATTTCTTTGATTTTGAATTTTTATAAAATTCGTCGCAAGAATTCAATTATTTAAAAAAATTTAACAAACTTCTTTTCAAGAATTCAATTATTTTTATGAATAATAAGATTCTTCACCGAAATTTAATTATTTTTATAAACTTGAATAAAATTCGTTGCAAGAATTCAATTATTTATCAAAAAATAATAAAATTCTTCACAGAAATTCAGTTATTTTTATAAACTTGAATAAAATTCGTTGGAAGAATTAAATTATTTTCAAAAGTAATAAAATTCTTTGCAGAAATTCAATTATGTTCAAAAATTAAAAAAAAATTCTTGTCAAAATTTCAAGTATCTTTATAAATAATAAATTTCTTTTCCGAAATTCAATTATTTTAGAAAAATTTTAATAAAATTCGTGGAAAAATTTTAATTATTTTCAAAAATAATAAAACTCATCGCAGGATTTTTATTATTTTTGATGGAATATTTTAATCAAATTCTTCGAAAAATGTAATTATTCTTAAAAATTTTATAAAAAATTTGTCAAAAGAATTCAATTATTTAAAAATTTGTTGATAAAATTCTTTATAAGAATTCAATTTTAACAAACATTTAATTATTCAATAAATTATTTATTTTTTAATTTAAGTAATTGAATTTTCCTAGAATTTTCTAATAAAAATTAATTTAAAAATGAATTACCGAATAATCGATTTATTATTTATGAAAATAATTAAATTCTTGCAACGAATTTTATTGCATTTTTTTCAAATAATTGAATCTTTTTTGAGAAATTTTATTACTTTTAAAAATAATTCAATTCTTGCGAGGGATTTTTGTAAATAATTAATTTTTGTTGAAAAATTTTATGGTGTTTTGTAATAATATTTTTATAAGTTGTTGAATTTCAAAAAGGTTTGAATTTGAATGTTTTGAAGAATTTTAATTCCTACCGAAAAATAATAATGATTAAATATTTATTTAAAAAGAAGTTATTGATGTTTTTGAATAATTTTACTTTTGAAGAAATTTGTAAATAAATGTAATAGAACATTTTTTTGAGTATCTAATAATTTTTAGAGTGAATCGGAATATGTGACTGTCCGCGACAAAAGGGACCTTAGCTCCCATGTATTTACATGGAGCTAAGGTCCCTTTTGTCGCGGACAGTCGCATATTCTTTAGGGTCAGGGAAAAAGTGAAAATTTTGTCTGGAAATCAGTGAAAAATAAAATTAAATATTTGTGGCAACCCTGTTATTATTTATTTACAATTTATTTATTATACTTTATTATTTCTTTTTTATTTATTAATCTTGCTTATTATTTTACTTATTGTTTGCTATTATTTTGTTAATTTTTTTCTCACTTGTTTATTATTTATATATACTATTTTTGATTATTCATTTATTTTTATTATTATTTACATTTATTAGTTTTTTTAATATAGATTTCTTTTGGTTGAGGATTTATTTATTTATTTTTTTTTTTGAAGCGTTGTTAACATTGATTTTTAAAGGTGAAAATTCGTAATTTCTATATGGATAATGGTGGGTAAAAGGTTTATCACAGCGGTATTTAAACAATCTGGTCAATCAAGATTGAATAAAAACAAGTTTTACTAATCATGGGAGAGACGGGCGAAAATTCTTGGAGGGATATGACTCTCTATATAGAGTTGATTGTTACACATAGATAGTATTGTGACATTCCTAACACTTTTTTTCTACTTTTTGATTTTTCCTTTTATTTTTCATTGATGATTTTACCCCTATTTTAACATTTTCGTTTTTTTTCAATATTTAGACATTTTCGTTTGAATTTAAATTAATATTTTTGTTAAAAAAAATAATTAAAAATAGAAAAATAGTAGAAAATTGAAAAAAGTAATAGAAAATTTAAAAAAAAATAGTAGAAAATTAAAAAAAAATAGTGGAGAATTAAAAAAAGTAATAGAAAATTTAAAAAATAGTCGAAAATTAAAAGAAATAACAGAAATTTTTTATAATAATGGAAAATTTAAAAAAAATGGTAGAAAATTAACAAATAACAATAAATTTCTTAAAATTTAATTTTTTTTAATGGTTTAGAATATATTTAGACGTTTAGAGGACGAATTAAATTTTCAACAGGTAATAGAAGTGTAATGAACTTTATAATATAAGAAAATACTTTCAGTGAGATGTATGTATAGAATTTCAGTTGAGATATTGAAAACGAAGTCACGCGTTGCTTTCACGATATATCTTCATATAATCAAGCCATCTTCTCTGCACACACGCGGTCAGCTTCGAGGTCACAAAACCTTGGAACGGAAACTAGACATTTAATATGGCGATTTATAGATTAAACTTTCACCGTAGTTTGTGTCTGCAGTAGTAGTATTAGCGCGCGACGTCTATTTTACTTCGCGGCCCTTCTCAGTTTTATAACTTTCGATTTCTTAATCTTACATATAACATTGCAAAAAAAAATTTATTTCATTCAAATAACCGATTATTTGGCTATTATCAATTAAATATTTACTCGAATCAAATAATTTTTATTTGAGTCAATTAAATATTTACTCGAATCAAATAATTTTTATTTGAGTCAATTAAATATTTACTCGAATCAAATAATTTTTATTTGAGTCAATTAAATATTTACTTGAATAAAATAATTTTTATTTGAGTCAATTAAATATTTACTTGACTCAAATAATTTTTATTTGAGTCAATTAAATATTTACTTGATTCAAATAATTTTTATTTGAGTCAATTAAATATTTACTTGAATCAAATAATTTTTATTTAAGTCAATTAAATGTTTGAATTCATATTTGCTTCAAATACTGAAATTATTGATTCAAATAAAATTTAGTTGACTCAAATAAAAATTATTTGATTCAAGTAAATATTTACTTGATAATAGCAAAATAATCTATTGTTTGAATCAAACAAATTTTTTTTCAGTGTTTATTTACAAAAAATTGCAATTTGAAATCCGTTTCTTTTAATCTATCTATTTGGAAAAAAATAAATTTGATTTTCGAAAATTTTACAAAACTGAAACTAATTAATTGATTTATAGAAGATAGATAATAGATTATTATCGATATTAGACTTTGTGAGAATATTTACCAATCAATTGATTGGTGAGAGAAAATTGTCACAGCTTGCAATTATTTTCGAAATAGGGATATTTGGGATTAATTAAAAATCAAATTGAATTAAATATAATATAGAAAGAACTTGAATTTATCGACCTTCAAGGGACATTAGGTGAATAATGATTGAGATCAGATATCCATAATTCGATGTAAATTGACACCTTGACATAATAGTGTTTCGAGTAAAAGTTTTTGTAATTTTTCATTGAAGACAAATTTTGTAATGAATTTAAAAAAAGGATTTTTTAATTATTATTATTCTTACCTAATTAGTAATTACTATCAATTCAATTTTTATTACTTACTATTAATTAAACTACTAGAAATTACTATTTATTCCATTATTGATGATTGTTATTAAATTAATTGGTATTAATTATTATTAATTATTACTAATTAAACTATTATTAATTACTATTAATTAAATTGATAAATTACTGTGAATTCTTACAAATTGAAATATTATTAAATACTAATACTTTTAGTAATTAAACTGTTTCTAATTACTATTAGATGAATTGATAATAATTAGAATTAATTACTACTAATTATTATCAATTGCTATTAATTAAATTAATGTCGATTGTTATTATTTAATTTTATATTATTTGCTATTACTTAAACTATTATTGTTTACTTTTAATTAAATTGATAATTATTACTAATTATTAAATTTTCTATTAATTATTACTAATTAAATTTATATTATTTACTATTTATAAATTAAATCATTATAATTGTTAGTTGCAATTAACGCTCGTTTATTTTTTCTTTATTATTCTACTTTATCGCGTCAGAATATTTTTGTTACTAATTACTATTAGTTTTTACTAATTAAAATATTATTAATTGCTATTAATCGAATTTATACTAATTACTATTAATTTATCATGACCACGGTCAATTTTAACCTTCGAGGATGAATATAAATAAATAGTAATTAAAATTAAATAAAATAAAATTTATTAAACTCAATTATAATGAGTTAAAATTAAAATTATTAAACTTAATTACTATTAATTAAAATTAAAATTAATAAACTTGAGTACAATTAATCAAAATTAAAATTAATAAACTTGAGTACAATTAATTAAAATATTAAAATAAATAAAATCAAATGAATTAAAATTAGTTAGACAATAAAACTGAATTAAAAATTTAAGAAATTAAAATAGTTAAACATTTTTTTTTGCATTCTTTATATTGTTTGTAACTAAAGGACAATTATTGTTTGTAATTAAGAGTTGGTGCATTATATTAAACACGATTATTCAGCTCTGGGAATCTTGGAGAATTGTTTGCTAATTATTTTTTTTCATTTTGGTTATGGTCTTAGATTAGAGGGGTTTTTTCATTTAAAAAATTTTTGTTGTTTTTTTCCATAATTTTTTCTTTAACTTACCCTGATAATGTCGAAAAGAAAGTTTCCAGATCCTGCGCCACTTCCACCCCCAGATGAGCCGTTTGAATTTAGAAACCTTTTGTTTCGATTTTCATCGTCACTGTCATCAATATCGTCTAGGGGTGCAAGTTCCTGTTCAGCGGCTTCATTTTGCTTCTCGTCGGCAAATTGAACTCGAATTTCGTTATTTTGCGATTCGGAAGCTGACGATTCTTTTGGTACTTGATCATCCGAACTCACTGCTTCGCTCACTCGATTCTCGGCTTCTGGATTTACGTCCTGAAATATTTGCAAAATTTATTAAGTATATTTCTTTTCTTTTTTTTTTTGAGACAATTTTTTTTTTATGAAATTTAGTTATGTTTTGGAAAAATTTAAATATTGTTTTTGACAAATTATGTTTATAATATTATTTATTTCAATTAAATAAATAAACGAATAAATTATTATTATCATTATTGTTATTATTAAAGACGACCGAGTAAAAAACTCTATTTTTTATTATATATGATAATTATTATCGTTAGCAATAATAATTACTTCTTTTTTTATTAAATTAATTATTATTGTTAACAATAATAGTTACGGGAAAAAATTCAAATTGTCTTTTGGCAAATTCTTTTTATAATTTTAAATTATCGTTATTACAGACGACCGATGGGTAAATTCATTATTTTTGTTATATAATAATTATTATTGTTAACAAAAATAATGATAAAAATAATAATAATAATGGTACACATTTTCCAAAACATAATTATATGAAACATACATTTGTTACATGAAACAAGATATATAACACAAAATTCTTGCTGTTATAACGTTTGTTTAATGAAATTAAACACATAAAAGTTGAAAGAATAAAAATGTGTTAAAAACAGAAATATTAACAAAATTTGCATTGTAGATTTTTTCTTTGAGTCAAAAAATTATTTATTTATTTCTGAATAAAATAGAAAAATTGTTTAGTTTCTAAAAAATTTCGTTAAATTAATTGAAGACAAGAAATTAAATTTTTTATTGTCATTATTTTATTTTGCGAAGAAATAATTGAAAGACTTTAAATTTTTTAACTTGCAATTAGAGTAAAGTTAAATAATTTGAAAACTTTAAACAATTTGAATGATTTGAATAATTTGAATTATAATTCAAATTAATTTAATTGAGTTAATTAATTTAATTCAAATTAAAAAATAATTGAAATAATTCAATTATAATTGAATTATTTGAATAATTTAAGAAATTCGGATTTATTCAAAATCTTTTATTTATTTTTCAATTAAAAAAAAATTTACAATGTAAATGTTGAAGACGCATTAATTTTTGTAAGAGTCTTATTCAACATGCTTTAATGACATGCAAATAAGGGCAATATTGCGTTTGCTTTGTATTTTTTTTTTTTTTTTTTTTTTTTGCATCAGAAAGATTAAGAGGATTTCCTGTAATCGACAAGCGATGAAAGTGTTATTGAATAATTAATTTGGTAATATATTAATTACCAGTGTGTTCAATATATAGATAACTTTGATCTGTTGTAATGATTACTATATATATTTCCTTGAAAGCAATAAATGAATTTTTTTTTTATAAAAATAATAACAAAAATTAAAATCCATAGTAGAGATGAAAAATTCAGTTGCGAGTGGAGTTTTTTTTTTTTTTGCTAAATAAATGATGTGCGTCCCATTTGATCAAAATAGGGATGCATCGTGTGTATCGTCTCGAATACTTTCACGATGTTTGACTTCGAAGAAAAATAGTTATAATATATATTGAGAAAGAGAGAAGAAATTGATTACATTTAATAATTGAAGAGAACTTGTTTTTTTTCTAGTTTTTATTGTGTTATTTTTTTCTATTTTTTATTTTGTTATTTATTTTTTATATTTTTATTTTGTTATTCTTTTTTATTTGTTATTCTATTTTTTATTTTGTTATTCCTTTCGATTTTTTATTTTGTTATTCTTTTCCATTTTTATTTTGTTATTCTTTTATTTTTTATAATTTTGTTATTTTTTCTATCTTTCATTTTGTTATTATTTTCTATTTTTAATTTTGTTATTTTTTCCCTTTTTTATTTTGCCATTTTGACATTTATCATTTAAATATTTTTTGCTATTCTTTATTTTTGTCATTTTTTTAATACAAAAAACTTGTCACTTTTTTTGTCTTTTTAAATTTTTGTTCAAAAAATAAAATTCGTTGAATTTTTCCAAGTACACAATTTTGATACATGATTCATTTAGTTTACTTGCAATTTCTAACAATTGAAGTGAGTTATTGCACCTTTTCAAGTTGCATATTAATAAATTGTAACGGACAATGGTAAAAATAATCAAAGAATTTTTTTTTCCGAAAGAGAAAGTCGTTTGTATTGAAGTTGAAACAGTTGCAAGAGTGAATAGACTTCACAAAGTATTACGTTTTACTTAATGAAACATTATTATCACGTTTTACATCTATTTATCTATTTGCTTTTCAACTAGATCTGAATACTGACATTTTTATATTATAATAAATTCTACACCATTTATTGACTTTCTCTTAAGATTCTATGAGTGATTGCCTCTAATTTTGTTTGTACTCATTTTTTTTTCTAATTTTCAAACATGCCGATAAAATTGTATTCTTGAAAAAATGTGACAAATTATTATTTATTTTAATTTATTATTATTTATTTTCATTAAACAGATTAAAATTAAAAAGCATAAAAAAAATCAAAAGAATTAAAATGAATAACAAATTAAAAATTATTGACAAAATCGAAAGGATTAAAATGATTGAACATATGTTCAATCATAAAAAGATTAAAACTATTAAAAATAAAGGAAAGATTAAAATTTTCACAAGTTCATTTCAATTGGGAAAATGTAAACGAGATGAAAATCGAGAATGAAAAGACAATAGCGAGATAATATGGAAAAGCGAAATTCGTTTTAAAATAATCAATCACATTCTGTCTAACTGGCCATCATCATTGAGTATCTCCTTCTCCTTGAGTTGAAAATCCCTTCATAAAATTCTTCAAAAATTCCAGCATCCAGGATCGATGGTTAGCTCTAAATTCCCTATATTCTGTAGTTTTTTTTTTCTTTACCCAAAAAAATTATACCAGAGAAAAAAAAATATTTTTCCCAACGGAATTTGTTATAAAAATAAATCAATTTCTGTTAAAAGATTTAAAAGTTGTCAAAATTTGAGCTTTTTGCGATTAATTTTACAAAAAAAATTGATAAAAATCCGATTCCGGTAGAATAAACGAAGCAAAAAATTTGATTAGATATAAAAATTCTTTGATAGATGAATGTAGATAACAAGAAAATTACTACTCGTAAATAGGAACATAAATATTTATTTTTACAAGACAAATTTTTGGTATTTGTCTTTTCTTTAAAGCACAATACTTACATTAAAATTGTACAATCTAGTGATAGAAAAACTATTGTTTTTTGCGCGAGAAAAAAATCTCGCAGTGTCATTATAATTTTGCGAAAAGTGATATTTTCTTGTAACGTCATTTATTATTTTGACGTGATTTGCTTTGGCTTGAGATTGTCTATAAATTTTCTACAGAAAACGTACACTTAAAAAATTTATTTGATTCAAGTAAATTATTGCTTGTCTGTTATTAAATAAATATTTATTTGTATCAAGTAATTTTTATTCGAGGTCAATTAAATAATATTTATTTGTATCTATTAAATAATCTTTGTTTACGTCAATTAATTAATATTTGTATCAAATAATTTTTATTGAAGTCAAATAAATATTTCTTTTTATCAAATATTTTCTTGAAGTCAAATAAATATTATTTGCATCAAATATTTTTTTGAAGTCAAATTTTTTTTTTTTTTTGAAGTTAAATAAATAATATTTGTGTCCAACAAATATTTATTTGTATCAAATAAGTGTCATTTGCTTCCAATACTAAAATTATTAGTCCAAATTCTAAAATCTTTGATTCAAATATTTATTTGAATGAAACAAGAATTTTGATTCAAGTAAATATTTATCAGACAAAAAACAAGCAATCGAATATTTGATTCAAATTTTTTTCAGTGTACATCAAATTCTAACGTAATGACAAAGGAATAGAAAATTTCAAAATAAAAAAAATTCCTGAAGTCAAAAATTAAATTTCCAACTCGCTTTTATAGTAAAAAAAAAATCCCAATTGTTCTTTTTTCTTAGAACTTTGAAAATTTCGAAAAAATTGAAAGAAACAAAATATTTTAAATATAAATTTGAAATTAAAAAAAAAAATTTAGAAATGTCCCTAAATCGATTTTTCCGTATCGTTAATAATATTGTCGTTAGAAGAATTTTCCGATGTGCTTTCTGTTTTTATTGTCACGGAATTTGAATCCTGAGTGTCACTTTCGTCAGGTGGGAAAGTTGGTAATTCAATTGATACGCGAGAGCCATTTGGACTTTCGTCATCAGATTGTGAATCGAAGTCATCGAAATCATCGAATGGATCGAGAGTGACTGTTGTTCCACTGCCTCCACCCCCTTTTCCACCCGATGCACCCCCACCACCTCCAAGTGCCCCCCGGAGGAAAACAGGACCAAGAATGCGGAAGATTTCTGTTGTTATCATGTTGACCTTTTGTTCGATTATCTAAAAAATATGTTAGCTCGTCATTTCATCAGTTTTCTCAATTTTTTTTTCTGTTTTTCGAGAACCCCCCGTGAAAATGATGACTATTTTTTTTTTAATGATGAAATGTGAGACAGACAGGATAACTGATGATTGCCGAAATTGAATCCTTTTTTTTGAATTGTAGACGATGATAATGTTGAGAAGAAGAAGATGATGAATAACGAGTTTTTCAATTTTTTTTAGATTTACAAGATTTTTGTTTTTCTCGATATTTTTCATTTTGATAAAATGAGGGAAATTTGGGAAAAAGTAGTCTTTGAAAAAATTTTGAATGAATTTAAAAAGACACAAGAATTAATTTTTGTGTTTGAATCAAAATGGTTTGGATAGAAAAATGTTTTTTTTTTCTCTATTCTTTATAGAGATTTCTGTGAAAATTATTAATGAGATTTGTCGCAGAATACAAAAGAGGCATTTGTTTCTGATATGAAATGCTAAACACGAATAGTTCGATTTAGTCAGTTTGTATACAATAGACAGTGTCGAAATTTTCTTCACTAACTAAAAGTCTCTTTCAAATGGAAAACATGTTCAGTCTCTTTCGTATTAGTCACTTCTATTCTCGTACGAAACTCCAATAACTCATTTTTCACTCAACAATCAGTTGATTTTTAATTATAATATTATTTAACAGTTGAATTACTTTTATTGAAAATATTTTGTTAAAACATTTTGTTAAAGTATTGATTTTGCAATTAAAGAATAATCCGTGTAATTTGGTTGTTGATTTATTTATTTTATTTCAGAATTAGAATTTTTTTATTTTATCCAAGGGGATTTTATTCACTTTTATTATTTATTTATTTTTTTTTTATTTTAGAAATAGAATTTCTATATTTTGTCCCAGTTAATTATATTTATTTATTTTTTTTATTTTGGAACTGGAATTAGAATTTATTTCTTTATTCTGTCCCACAAAATTTTATTGATTTCTTTATTCTTTTAATTTCTGAATTAGAATTTCTTTATTTGGTTTAAGAAAATTTTATTTACTTTTTAGTTTTTATTTTACTTTATTTATTTTATATTTTAGAATTTAACTTTATTTTGTCCCAGAAAATTTTTATTTATTTATTTTTTTTTATTTTGCAATTAGAATTAGAATTTCTCTATTTGGTCTGAGGAATATTTTATTTATTTTCTTTTTTATTTATTCTTATTTTATTTACTTTTTCATTTTAGAATTGGAATTTTTTAAATTTTTATGCAGAAAATTTTATTTATTTTTTTTCATTTTAGAGTTAGAATTTCTTTATTTTGTCCCAGAAAATTTTATTTATTAATTTATCTAATTTAATAAATTAATTAATTAAAATAAGTAAATAAAACTTAATAATTATTCATTAAAATTGATTGTAAATAAAAATGAGGTCAATTAAAAAATCCTTTCAGATTAATTAACTGAAGCTACTTTATTAATTTACTAATCAGATTAGTTAATCAACGAGACTCGAATTAAAATTTTCCATTAAAAATAAAAAAAAACTTTATCACACTAGATTTTGTATTATAGCACTAAGTTAATGATTTTTTTTTTTTGAAAATAATTTAACAAAAAATTGAATTCTTCATAAATTTATTGACTACTGTTAAATAATTTAATTTCCCGTACAAAACGTTATTGAATAACTCATAAATTTTTAATTCAATTTCTAATTTATCGCATTAATTTGGGTAAAATGAACTTTCTGATTTTAATGCGATCCACTAGAGATGAATAAACGTCTAATTTAGAAAATTGCAAAATACATTTGAGTCCATAAGAAAAATTACATTAACGGACAAGATTGATTTGTTCTTAATTGTGAAAGTAAATTCGTAACGCGCGTATTAGTGTAACAGTTATCTTATATTGCTTGAGCAATTAATGGATGTATATATATATATACATACATATTTCACATGATTTTATTTTTTTCACATACGTAACAGTGAGAAATTAAAATTATTTTAAAAAAAAATTCTTTATTCTTAAGCTCAATTCTTATTTTCTTATTAATCTTTTATTTATGAATTGGAAAATAGAAAAATATAAAATCTTTTATTTATAAAATTTGTATTATTTTTTTTTTTAATCCGATTTTCTACATTTCTTTTATATTGACGCATAAATCACTTTCACTTAAATTTCTCCAGCGGGACAAAATTTCATTGATTTTTATTAGTGTCACTGTATTATTTTTTTTATATGGATATATAACAATTGAAAAACGGGAAGTAGCAGAAAAATTGAAGACAATTTTGTAAAGTTTTAATAGATGATAAAAAATGTTACTGAAAAAAAAATGTTGTTACTGAATGGAAATTTTTTAATCGTTTTATGGATGAATAATAATAATCTGTGTGGAGACATTTGTGTACTTTATGGGAAAAATTAAAAATTTATTCAGAAATTAGTGTCTGTAAAAAAGACGTATTTTTGCAATTGCATTTGTTTTGTAATGTCTTTTTTTCCTTTTTTCTTTTTTTCTTTTTTCGTTTATGAAGAAGCGATCTCTTAACTTCCGGTTTCGTAACAACGGCGGAGAGGAAGATGCGCACTTTTCGTTTAGATGATCGTATAAAGGCGTAACAAGATCGCGTGGTCAATAAGCAAAACATTGTCTGGGAATTGCGAGTAAATTGCATGCGAAAAAATCACGCCAACTTTATACACATTGACTTTCACGTGAGGAATGTTCTCAAATATTAAATGGCCGAAAATTTATTATATACAATGTAGCAAAATTTATTTCATTCAAATAAATAATTTTCTATTGTCATAATAAATATATATTTGAATTAAATAAGTTTTATTTGTATTGAATAATTTTTATTTGCATCAAATAAGTTCTAATTGCATCAAATAATTTTTATTCGCTTCAAATAATTTTTATTTGCACCCAATTATTTTTATTTGCAACAAATTATTTTGAATTTCATCAAATAATTTTTATTCGCTTTGAAATAATTTTTAATTGCACCAAATTATTTTCTTTCGTATCAAATAATTTTTATTTGCACTAAATTATTTTTATTTGCAACAAATTATTTTGAATTTCATCAAATAATTTTTATTCTCTTCAAATAATTTTTAATTGCACCAAATTATTTTCATTCGCATCAAATATTTTTTATTTGCACCTAATTATTTTTATTTGCATTAAATAATTTGTATTTAAGTCAATGAAATAGTTTTTCCTTCAAATACAATTTATTTGATTTAAATAAAAATTATTTGATTCAAGTACCGAAATTATTGTTTCAAATACAATTTATTTCTTTGATTAAAAATTTTTCGATTCAAAATTATTGGTTCAAATACAAATTATTTGATTCAGATAACGAAATTATTGGTAGAAATACAATTTATTTGATTTAAATAAAATTTATTTGATTCAAGTTAAATATTTATTTGCTAATAGACAATCGATTATTTGAATCAGATAAACTTTTTTCCATTGTATAATTAAATAACAATAATTATCTTCCATTATTAATTAATAATAATATTAATAAATAATATTCACAAATTAATTAAATAGTAAAACGAATAATTTTCTATTCTGTCAAAAATTTTTGCTGATTAATTTACAAAAAATAAATAAATAAAAATGAGTCAATGAAATTAATTTTGAACTAACTTTGAATTAATTTTAAATTAAATAGAAAAATAAATTAATGGCATAAATTTTTTATCTAATTTGAAATTAAATAAATAATTAAATAAACTAGCAATTATTAAAAAAAATAACAAAAATTAAGTAAGTGGAAAAATAACAATTTATTAATTGTTATTTTTCTACTTATTTAATTTTTGTTTGTTTTATATTATTATTAAATTAATTAATTAATTTTGAAAAATATTTCTGTTGAATAAATCAAATTAATTTGATTTGTTTAGAAGAAATATTTTTTAATTGTCATTATAATATTGACAATATTTATGTTAATTGTTGACGATGCTGAAGAAATTGATTATAATTTTTGCAAGGATTCGATTTGAATATTAATTTATGCAAGAACGTGTTTTTACAAGGATTTCACGATCCTCGTTGAGGGGAAAATTTTTTTTCTCACCTGAGATATTTCTGGAAAAAGTTGTCGTAATATTCCTATTGTCCTTTTGTTTCTGAGGGCCGTGTCTTTCTCTGCCTCGACCATCACCAGTCGATCAAGAGCCTGAAAAATACTTCAATTTTTGGCTCCTTCGTATAATCCACACTTTTTATTTAGTGTCTAAAGATCTGATATTGGAAATTCTAACCCTTCACCACTGTACTGAGAGGAAGACTTCTTTTTTTCTTTTTGCATTGAAGAAGATAATTTGAAAAATTATTTTCAAATAAAGTTTTTTTCTTTTTTGGAAAATTATTTTCAAATGAATACCTACTTTTTTGAAAAAATATTTTCAAATGAATACTTTTTTGGAAAATTCTTTTCAAATAAAGTCTTTTTTGCAAAATTATTTTCAAATAAAGTCCCTTTTGAAATTTTTTTTATTTGTCTTCTTGGAAATGATTTTGTAATTCATCAAAAAAATTATTGACTGTCAATAATTTACTGTCTTTGATTGATTAATAACTATTTATCATCTTGAAGAGTTAGTTATTAATTTTTAATTCAATTATTTTTATCATTATGTTAATTATTGTTCTCGAGTTGATTATTGTCCTCGAATTTAATTTAGTTATTGTCTTGAATTAATTATTGTCCTTCAAGTATTTATTTATTGTCTTTAAATTAATTATTGGTATACAATTAATTAATTAGAATTAATTAATTGTCCTAAACTTTAGTTGTTACATTTTAATTATTGGCATTTAAATAATTATTGCTATTTAAATAATTATTGTCTTTTAATTAATTATTGTCCTGCAATTAATTAATTCTAATTAATTAATAGTCCTAAAATTAATTGTTGTCTTGAGTTTAATTATTTTCATTTAATTAATTATTATCTTTTTATTAATTGATGTCTTTCAATTAATTACTGTCTTAAAATTAATTACACTTCTAAAATTAGTTATTTTCTTGAATTTAATTATTTTCCCTAAAATACTTATTTTTAAATTAATTTTTGGTCCAAAATTAACTAAGCGAATTTTGATGGTTTTTCTTCCGTTAGTTCACACTTTTTTTATGTTAGATTTTTATGTTTTATGTTTAAATTTTTTTATTTTTTATGACCTGTTTATTTATTGATAACTAAACGTAAAATTGTCCAATTTGTTTAAAAGTAGTTTTACAGTCAGAGAAAATAATTCGTTTTCAAATTATTTTCAACTCAGTCCAAAAAATTATCAGAAACAATAATTCGCCTGGTGAAACGTTCCCTTTAGGAGAACTTTTGTAATTGACTTCTTTGGTCTTTAAAAAAAAAAAAAAGTTTCCTACCTGGAAGAAATAAATTGAGACTTTGCTTTAACACAAATAATAGGTCTTGATAATTTCGATCCAGATATTTCATTTAAGTATAGAAGGGGAGAGAAAAAAAACAATAAAGATAAAATTCCATATTTTTCACTTTTATCTCCTTTATACTTAAAGATTTTGTGAAATAATTTTTTTTTTAGAACATTCTCATGGTCCATATTTTCTGGAAATTGTCGATAGAACTTTGGCGTCACTCCAGGCGTATCATTTTGCAATATTGACTCTCGCATAAAATTGCCAATAAATAGATTCCAGGTGCAATGGTCAACGCAGGTAGAGTAACGGAACCCAAGTTTCTCAACCATGAGTCGCGGTCCACTTTCCCTTAAACCTCATTCACATTTGTGCACATATGCTTAACTCCGACACGTAAGATTGTTGCTTATTATATTTATATTGTGGTACACAAAATGAAAAGTAAATTTTGTAACGATGTTTTCAAATATTTCTTCATTTTTTTCTGTTAATTTTTTGATTTATTACATAATGTGGATCAAATTTAATTCGGCCTTCGCATTTTTTTTTTCTTGTTGAAACAAAAAATTTCCTTATGGAGAATAAATTATTTTGAAAGTTTGAAAGTAATTAAAAAGGTGGTGTGTATGTTAATTATTTTTGGTATTTTGTTGTGGAATGGGTTCTTTTATAACTGTGGTAAAATTTGTTGAAAATTATTCATTTCATGTGTAGTGTGTAAGTGTCGCATAAGACCGCAGAAGGAGGTTGTGAAATGAAATACTTGACACGCGTCGCGTAAGGTTGCATATGCTGGGTTTAATTTACATTTAACACCTTTTAAAACATTCAGTTAAATACAGCGCATTGTTTATTATAAACTTTTAGTTTTTTTTTATTATTTATCTTTAAATAAAAAATGTTTCTTTTATTTAAAAGAAAAATGTTTAAAACACTATTTCATCAAGTGTATCAATTTGATTCTTTTTTTATCAATTTGATTATTTTTTTTATCAATTTTATATAAAATTGGATTTAATTTCATCAAAGTGGTACCAAATTGGAACAAAATGAAACCAAGTATATATAAAATGAAACCAAATTGGGTAAAGTTGATACCAAATTAAATCAAATTGGTATTTGGTACCAAAACAGTTAGCAAATTCAATCGAATTGTAACTTAGTTGGTTCAAATTGTTCCAAATTGGATAAAATTGATAATAAACTGTATCGAATTTAATTTAGTTTGGACCAAATTGAATCAAACTAATACCAGTTTGGTGCAAATTGAATTAAATTGATACAAAATTGAATTAAATTAATACCAGATTGGATTGAAGTGAAACCAAATTGGATAGAATTGTTACTAAACTAAATCAAATTGGTATCAATTTGGATCAAATTGAAATAAAATTCAGTAAAATTGTTACTAAATTAGATTAAATTAATATCAATTTGGACTGAATTCGATCAAATTAATATCAATTTCGACTAAATTGGATCAAATTAATACGAAATTGGATCAATTAAAAACAGTTTGAATCAAATTGGATAAAATTAATTTTTGAATTGTACCAAACTGATGACAGTTTGAACCACATTGGATCAAATTAATTCTAAATTGAACCAAACTGATGTCAGTTTGAACCAATTTGGATAAAATTGATACCAAAATTGTTCAAAGTGAAATGAAATTTAATAAAATTGTTACTAAATTGGATTCAATTATTATCAATTTCAACTAAATTGGATCAAATTAATACTAATTTGGATCAAATTTAAATTAGTTTGACTCAAATGAAATCAAACTAATACCGCAGTTTGGTTCAAATTGATAATAAATTGTATTAAATTAATATCAGTTTGGACAAATTAAATCAAATTAGTACCAAATTAGATAAAATTAAAATCACTTTGAATCAAATTGGTTGGATAAAATGAATTTTAAATTAAATCAAAGTGATACCATTTTGGACCAACACAGTAAAAAGTAAATCTTAATTTAAGAGCTGCCTTAAATTCAACACTGTCTGCTATAATGTTAAAGGATACGAAAAACGTGCGTAAATTCAACATTGACTGCCTTAAAAATGTTGCATCTTAATTTAAGGCAGCTTTCGTGCCTTAAAATAAGATTTTCTTTTTACTGTGAAATTGAACAAAATTAATACCAAATTTTCTCAAAGAAATCCAAATTTAATAAAATTGCTACCAAATTCGATGAAATTAGTATCAATTTAGACTAAATTGGATGAAATTAATACTTAATTGTAACAAATAAAAATTAGTTTGAACCAAATCGGATCAAAACTATTTTTAATATGAATCAAACTGATACCAGTTTGGACCAAATTGAATCTAATTGATAAATATTTGGATCATATTGACACCAAATTATATCAAAGTTTTATCAAATCGTATCAAATTGTTACCAAAGTGAACAAAAGTTTTATCAAATTGTATCAAATTGGTACCAAAGTGGACAAAAGTTTTATCAAATTGTATCAAATTGTATCAAATTGGTACCAAAGTGGACAAAAGTTTTATCGAACTGGTACCAAAGTGGACAAAGCATAATCAAATTGTATCCAGCTGGTACCAAAGTATATCAAATGTATTTTTAATTTGTTTTGTAATTTTTTTCCCACATATTTCTTTAAAATTATCTTTTCTCTTTTTACTTTGCTTTTATCGTTATTATATTTTATTATTGTTATGAAGTTATTACTTTCTCTATTTAATCCAGTGTTTGCAGTTATATATTAATTGTCATTAGGATTAGAAAAAAAAGAAAAGAAAAGAAATGAAATGAATATTGTAAAAAGGTACTTGTTACTCTGTCTTTGGGAAATTTTTAAATTGTAGAAAAGAAAATGACGAAGAATTATTGCTCTGTTATTTAATAAAATTATAGCAATTTTCTCGTTTGTGGACCGAGCGCGCAGAGAACGAGACATTTGTCTTTGAGAGTAACAAAGCCTATGATTTTCTTCGCCTCGAAAAATATTTTCGCTCTCTCTCTCGGATAAAGAAATATAACAATGCCTTTTTTTTTACAATAATTTATTGTGTATGGATATAGGAACAAAGTATGTTTTGTGCAATATTCTTGTTAAAAAAAAAAAGATTTTTTTCGCATAGTTATAAATTGCACCGGATTTAATGTCGTTTGCATATATATTTTTTTCTTTACGGTTTTTTCTGAGGATATCAAATTGAGACAAAAATCGCAACACTTTTGATTCGTTTTTTGTCTCAATTTGATATCCTTAGAAAAACTGTTTTGATCATAATAATAATATTAATAATAATTTTTGTTTGTATGCCCCATTTACCCCACTCTCCCACTCTCTAAATTTGAATTTGTAAAAATGTTTACTAATTTGAATTAGTGACTGACTTTTTGCTTTTGAATTAGTAAATTTTACTAATAAATAGTAATTTCTACTAATTTTAAATTTATTAATAAAATTTACTAATTCAAAAGCGAAAAGTTAGTCACTAATTTTAATTAGTAAACATTTTTATTTTACTAATTCAGATTTAGAGAGCATATCAAATAATTTTTATTTCATTTCATTAAATGATATTTGCTTCAAATATTAAAATTGTTGTTTCAAATAATTGTTGATTCAAGCAATTATTTGTTCAGTAAATATCGAATTAAATAATTATTAGTTTAAATAATTATTGATTCAAATAATTATTAGTTCAAATAATTATTGGTTCAAGTAATTATTAGTTCAAATAACTATTAGTTCAAAATAATTATTAGTTCAAATAATTTTTTA